CACTTAAATAAATTACTGTTTAACAGAAGGAAACAATTCTCAAACTTGTCTGCGACTTTTCTAAATTCAAGCTTGCACTTAAAAGAAACAATATAGCATGCAGGTCTAATAAACTGAATTTTGACTTTCATAAGAAGATTGCTAAAATCAAAGAATTATGAAAGCTGCAGCATTTCTGATGCTATTTCCCAGATGTCTATTGCATTACCAACAATGTTTACTTTCCAGAAATAAATTCCATATTTAATCTCCATACATACAGTTGTCTAAGACTTCATAGGGAATGAAATACAAATCCCAAATAAATAACTCATTTTCATGACTTCTTATTACGGTGTTTGAATGTGAAAAATGTCTGCACATGCCAAAAAAAATTACATGACAATTTATTCACCATTTAACACAAGTGTAAACAATTATCTCTGTGAGAGGCTAATAGTCAGGAATACCTTCTAATTAATGCAATTTTCAATAAAGGTTTGACACAAGCATTTTCACCTGTGTTCATTTACCAAAATTACGTCTCAGGACAAAAAATGCCCCGACTGTCTCCATCGTCAACATTTACTCAGCTATAGGTATCATAAATGTATAAGAATTTGTAATTGTTCATGCTTATTCAAAGTCATATCAAAGACAGTGATAATACAGCTATTGCCCCATCTCTCTGTGGGAGTCGACACAGAAATGTTTTTGACGAATTATGATGATGTAATATTTTGTGTAAAATAAAAATTCTGAAGATGTTTATATTTGTTTTGACACAGTCAGATCTAGAATTAATAATCCTTTTTTCTACACTTAAATAGAACTTCTGTCAGAATATGTATCCACTTGATGCAAATTCTCAGAGGGAATAACATGAACGCATTCTTGTGCACAGCTAAAACTGCACAATTGTAAATCAAACTGTGATCATAATGTTAGTAAGAGTGATTCAATCATCATTATTATTCTGTTTATGTTTCATCATTATGTCTTTGGATCGAAACTTCTATTTTACTGCATAACTTTTTCTGACTTTAAGAGCCCTTGTTATAAAAATTTTTTTTTTTAACTTTTAGATCCTTGCAACACAGAGATCACAAATTTTACAACTTACCCATGCCAGGAAAGATGCATTTATCCATTATAAAGATAGAATCAACTTTTGGGTCTCATCAGTCACTCCCAAATTGTGCAATTTCAATTTCGACTTTTTACCTCCTACTCAAGGCCCTTTTTATATGAATATGAATACTTCAGATTGTAGCAAATTTGTGTGAGATGGCAACCAAATAAAACAAATAAACAATAAAATGCTCCGCTGGGGCGCAGCTTGATACAACCGCAGAGGTCGAACCCTGAACAGTTGGGGCAAGTATGGACACAACATTCAAGCTTGATACAGCACTGAATTTGGATTGTAATTAAATATTTGACACAGCATAGGTTTCTGACACAGAATGAAAGTGGTCTAAGAACTTAAAAATTTTTAATTTACCTATTCAAACCATATCATTATTATTTGCTTTTATATATAAATCAGAAATAACAAATTTAAAATGAAAAATTTTAAAGAAAAAAAAGGAAAAAAAAATCCCCCCTGAAATTTTTGGAACCCCCTTATGATTCATCACCCCTAAACTCAATCCCAGCCTTCCCTTTGTGGTATGGTACCTTGCAGTACAATTTCAGAGAGATCCATACACTTGAACACAAGTTATTGTCTGGAAACAAGAAAAATACTTGCTTTTTGGCCCCTTATTCCTAAACGTTTAGGGCAATTACCCCCAAACACAAACCCAGCTTTCCCTTTGTGATATGGAACCTTGCAGTACAATTTCATAAAGATCCATACACTTACACACAAGTTATTGTCCTGAAACTAGAAAAATGCTTGTTTTTTTGCCCTTTTATGGCCCCTAATTACCAAAATTTTGAGGGAATTACCCCCAAAATCAATCCCAGCCTTCCCTTTGTGGTATGGTACCTTGCAGTACAATTTCAGAGAGATCCATACACTTGAACACAAGTTATTGTCTGGAAACTAGAAAAATGCTTATTTTTGGCCCCTTTTTGGCCCCTTATTCCTAAACTTTCTGGGCAATTACCCCCAAACTCAATTCCAGCTTTGCCTTTGTGATATGGAACCTTGTAGTACAATTTCATAAAGATCCATACACTTACACACAAGTTATTGTCATGAAACTAGAAAAATGCTTGTTTTTTGCCCCTTTTTGGCCCCTAATTCCTAAAATTTGGAGGCAATTATCCCCAAAATCAATCCCAGCATTCCCTTTGTGATATGGAACCTTGTGATACAATGTCAGAGAGATCCATAGACTTACACACAAGTTATTGTCATGAAACTAGAAAAATGCTTGTTTTTTGCCCCTTTTTGGCCCCTAATTCCTAAAATTTAGAGGCAATTACCCCCAAAATCAATCCAAGCATTCCCTTTGTGATATGGAACCTTGTGGTACAATGTCAGAGAGATCCATACACTTACACACAAGTTATGTCTGGAAGTTACAAAAATGCTTATTTTTGGCCCCTAATTCCTTAACTGTTGGTACCATAACCCCCAAAATCAATCCCCACCTTCCTTTTGTGGTATTGAACCTTATGGTAAAATTTCATTCAGATCCATTCACTTAAACTAAAGTTAGAGTGCGAAAACTAATGTGTCTTCGGAGGACGACGACGATGACGACGACTCCAAGGTCATACCAATATACGACCACAAAAATTTTTTTGCGGTCGTATAAAAACAGGTCAACCTTAAACAATGGACAAGTGCCACAGTATCACAAGCAAATACCAGATCTCAGTAAACTAACAATAGGACAGTGAAAACCACTGACAAAACATACAATAACTAAAGGCTCCTAGGAGCATGAATTCATCACTTGGATATATTTTGCCCAAATAGAAAATAAAGGCTTTTTTACAGAACCAAAGCAATGACAAATGGTAAGAACCTTCTTACGAACATTTCTGCATTATTTCTTTTCATTTCCTTTTATCTGTTTTAAAATATAAATCAGACTGCAATGTCCCATAGTGTTTGAAAGTAAACTTTGACATTGACTGACAGCCTTACTGATTTTTTTTAAATTATCAACATGTGTTACAGACCATTACAGGAACACTGTTTCCTTTCATTTGCTTCAATGTTTTTTTTGAGATGATGATCTTGGGAATTTAGATCAATGGACACAATTTTTGCCACCTTGAGGCCATAATGATTTTTTCATCAAGACCAAAGAAACAACACTAGATAAGTACCTTCCAAAAACATATTTCTGTCCTGGTATTTTCATTTCACTTCATATGTTCTTAAAATAAACAGTTGACGGAAATATGTCTCATCTGTATGTAACTTTGACCTTCGCACTAAGACACAACCAACCAAACCAATGTAATTTTGATAGTATAATGCAATGTTGAAATTAAAATGACAATACTTTAACATGTAATCTAGGCAACACATTCAAAGTCAACAGACCATTACAGATTGGGCAGGGATATAACATCTTTATGGAAATGAGATGTGCTAATGATAATACAACTGCATAAAAAATATCATCCCTTACCATTGTAGTTCCCCTTAAACTGACTTAACAAATTTTATACATTGGTAACGCTAATTGTTATTTGCTAACACCAACAATAACAATGAGGCAGGGACAATTTTGCATTGCCTTCACAACATCATTGAGGTGAAACAAACACTGTCCAAATTATACTACATCTGCCTAATGAAGCAGGATTACTTACAACAAATTTAAGAACAATAGTATTTTTCATTTTAGGTGCTTGTTGAAATAATAAAACACAATTGTAAAAAAAATAATAAATACATCATTCCAGAATGGAAATATTAAATTATGGATCATTTTGGAAAACAGGAAGTATAACATATAAATAATGAAAACAAGTCATACTGTATGGTATAACAAGATGAAGCTTATTGCCAAATATAAAAAAAGCTATGACTTGTAAGTGCTGAGAAATGTGTTACGGACAGGCAGAGGCATAGACAGAGGTAAACCAGTTTACCCCTCCTTAAAAGCGGGCCTGGATTAGGGGTATAAAAATTATATAAAACTTGTGACCTTGTGATGTTTTCAATATATACCCTATGGATAAATATTTAGGGCATGAGGAAAAGTAAAGATACAGTAAATGTTTTTACTCCTGTTTGTAGTTACATGTATTACAAAGAACTTTTTAGAAAAGCTAACATTACTGAGATCCTTGGGTGAAAATAAACCTACCTAATCATATCATTTCCTCTACTCATGAAAGCATCACCTACCTAATCATATCATTTCCTCTATTCATGAAAGCATCACCTACCTGATCATATCATTTCCTCTACTCATGAAAGCATCACCTACCTGATCATATCATTTCCTCTACTCATGAAAGCATCACCTACCTGATCATACCATTTCCTCTACTCATGAAAGCATCACCTACCTGATCATATCATTTCCTCTATTCATGAAAGCATCTCCTACCTGATCATATCATTTCCTCTACTCATGAAAGCATCACCTACCTGATCATATCATTTCCTCTATTCATGAAAGCATCACCTACCTGATCATATCATTTCCTCTACTCATGAAAGCATCACCTACCTGATCATATCATTTCCTCTACTCATGAAAGCATCACCTACCTGATCATATCATTTCCTCTACTCATGAAAGCATCACATACCTGATCATATCATTTCCTCTACTCATGAAAGCATCACATACCTGATCATATCATTTCCTCGACACATGAAAGCATCTCCTACCTGATCATATCATTTTCTCTACTCATGAAAGCATCTCCTACCTGATCATATCATTTTCTCTACTCATGAAAGCATCACCTACCTGATCATATCATTTCCTCTACTCATGAAAGCATCACCTACCTGATCATATCATTTCCTCTACTCATGAAAGCATCTCCTACCTGATCATATCATTTCCTCAACTCATGAAAGCATCACCTACCTGATCATATCATTTCCACGACTCATGAAAGCATCGCCAGTGCCGCTCATCCTCTCCATAGAGGCCTCGCTACTGTTAATGGACGGATTATGTTTAGCAAGACAGGAAAGAACGGTAGATACAAGCTGTAGCGTACTAACTGCTACTGAATCATAAGGGAGAGATGCTGGCTGACTACTAGATGATGACATGGATGATAAATTCTGATCATTTGGCATCATAACCTGAAATTTAGAAGAAATAAAAATATGGTTAAAACAGAAGATGGAACAAATATTTTTTCTGCAATTTGATTTATAACTCATTAATAATACCAATGCATATAAAAATAAAAGAAGAATGTATACATGGGACACAGATGCCCCTGCTGGCAAATATGCAAGGTCAATGTACTAATTCATACCTATTGATGTTTTGTTTTCTTTGAAACTTAATGATATTTGTTTCTGTGTGTTGTCATTAGAGATTGCCTGGGTGTTTGAGTGCTCTCATTACTTAATAACAAACAGTAATAGAATAACTCTAGAACAGTGTAAGTAACGCCACCCAAATTTGAACTTGATCTGTGTTGGGTGGTATAAGAATTGTGTATAAGTTTCATAATATTTGGTTGAGGCAAAGTAAAGTAAGGGTGCAGAAACAGCAAATTCACCAATTTTTCCATTTCTAAAGGGACATATCTCAAGAATGGAGAAAGTGACGCCTCCCAAATTCGAACTTGACCTTCTTTTGGTAGTAATAAGCATTGTATATAAATTCAGAACATTTGATTGTGGCAAAGTAAAGTAAGAGTGCAGAAACGGCAAATTCATCAATTTTTCCATTTATAAAGGGACATAACTCAAGAACTGTGAACGTGATGCCACCCAAATTCGAACTTGACCTGTGTTTGGTAGTAATTAACATTGTGTATAAGTTTCAGAACATTTGGTTGAGGCAAAGTAAAGTAAAAATTTTGGGACGTAGAGGAACAAGGGTAAACATTAATGCCCGGGCCACTCAGCAGGGGCATAAAAATCAGGAATATAGGGACAGTCTAGTGCAAAAAAAGAGATGTTTTGAGACTTTTTATAGGCCCTTAAAATTTATCAAAATTAATGTTGTAATTGTCAAAAGAATGTCAATCAAAACTAAATGTCAACTCAGTCTGTAACTCAACAATAGACAAATACAAAAAACAGTACAACATTTGTAAACATACAAAAAAAAGTCTGGACAACTGATATTTTTCTGAAGCACAGAACGACGAAAGAATAGACTTCAGTTAAATTGAATGCCTTAGCTACTAAGAAGTGGATGCATAAAACATATAAATAATATAACTCTGCAATATTTCAATATATTTAGCTTACCAACAGTCTTTGAGACAGTAATTCTAAAATGTTTCCAACTTTATTACTGAACATCATGTAATGGCAGTTGTCATAACAACCTTTACATGCTTGTCTGAACACTGTACAGGTTAATATAATAGACCTATAAAACAAAACAAAAATCCATATTGTTATAATGCCACACAAACTGTAAATATGGTAGCTATTTTAACATCACTTATAAAAACAATTAGACCCAAAAATGTTCCAAAAAGTGAAGAAATCTATGGAATGCAATTCAACTTTGTCTAAAAGTGGTGATGACTGATGACATCAGTAGGTAAACATTGAACTCTTGTTATTCTAAAAAGATCTTGCTGCATGAATATTGTCCCTCATAGAATATAAATGGCACTCATAGACTCATGCAATATATAATTCTACATATTCACCAATAAACCAAAAATATAAAATTGCTAACTACTATATATAAAAATTGACATGCATAAAAAAATATGACAACAAACATATTTACTTACTTATGTGGTAGTATGGGAGGTAACTCTGGATTTGCTGCATCAGCTAGCAGTAATATCCTAGATAACGTATTTAAACCACTAAGTACTCTCAAACATGTCTGGTCTGCTGGTATCTAGTATAATATATTTCTTACAATGAAAACACTGTATTTCAAGACCTTATGCTGTTATTATCAAAGGTACATATAATTGTTTAACTCAGAGAATTCATTTACATTGGTCATTTTTTAAAATGATGGAGTTTTTTAATATCCTCTGTGGTTCCCTTTTTAAAAATCTGTTCAACACAACAAACTGATTTTTTCCTGATAATAATGTTCAAATTTATAAACACTTAATTTTGTTCACATATTTAAACATGATAAATACTATATCAATCAGAATACATTTGAAAGTTGATTTGAAAAAAATATCTACAACATTATCACAATAAGTCACATATTTTCTCCTAATATCCTTCCTATTTTTGCATAAAGTTTCTAGGATATTCTTTACTATCCAATATCTAAGTAAAAATTCTTTCAATTTTCATCATGCTCTGAACAATACTTATTAAACCTAATCATACTTATTATTATACTTTACTATAGTAATCACTAATAAAATAATTAAGAATTTACTGTATGTTTTTATTCCTTCAAGGAGAATAACCGCTTGTGGCAGATTGCGCTTAGGCAAAATAACGGGAATGTCTGTGTGGCGAAAATAATTCATTTAAATTTTGCACACATTAACATGTCAATATAACAACTAGCTAGTGTATTGTTTGTTGACGTCAGGAAAATATGGTGGCCACCTCAAGATAACTTTGCACTATATTTTTTACCAAATATGAGTCCTGATAACAAGACTCCTTTTAAAAGTTGATTGAAAGAAGAACAACAAAATATCTGTCAAATCCTGTTCGAATAAAAACTGAAATATTAAAATACATTAAAATAAATTGCTTCGCCGAGCGCAGCTGAATATGACCGAAGAGGTCCAACCCTGAACAGTTGGGGCAAAAATGGACACAATACTGCGCTTGATACAGGTCTGAATTTGGATTGTAATTAAATATTTGACACATAATAGGTTTCTGACACAGATGAACTTAGAATTGGTGATATAATTTGAATTTATATTCAATTTCTTGCTTTTGTGCAATACACTATGCTGTTGTGAATTGACCCCCCCCCCCCCCCCAAAAAAAAAACAAAAATTAATTTACCCATTGTCCCCCCCTCACAATTTCTTTTTTAATTGTCCATTAACCAGGAAACCCTTGTTTTCCCCCCTTTTTTGCCCCTAATTCCTAAATGGTTTGAGCCATAACCCCCCAAAGCCAATCCTAACCATCCCTTTGTGGTATGGAAACTTGTGGTATAATTTCAGAGAGATCCATACACCGTTCCACAAGTTTTTGTCTGGAAACTAGAAAAATGCTTATTTGGGCCCCTTTTTGGCCCCTAGTTCCTAAACTGTTAGGACTATAACCCCCAAAATCAATCCCAACCTTCCTTCTGTGGGTATAAACCTTGTGTTTAAATTTCATAGATTTCTATTTACATTGACTAAAGTTATTGTCCGGAAACCAAATGTCTTAGTAGACGACGACGCCGTGATACAAATATACGACTGCAAAATTTTTTTGCGGTCGTATAAAAATAAAAGGGAAATTATTGTGATACAGCCAAACCATGTTAAAGATCATCTCACTTTTATTAATGTTTCTAAAAATTTAAATTTACCTTTTTATCTAAAATTCTTGAAATTTCTCCAAGTGCTCTATCCAAGGCAGAAACTCTGCTTTGCGACCAGGGACCCTTTTCTGTATTCTGCAGGTACTTAGTTATATCTCTAATCACTTTGTGTAACCTAAATTATTATAAACTTTTTTTTAAACTAGAATATCTTTGTAATAAGAACATTTTTCTGGTTGTCTTTAATGTTTCAATGTAATTAACATAGCTTTTTATTTGTGATTTATAAATATCAAGGGTAAAATAATTTTACTTTGTTGAAATATGGTTTAAAGAATGTATTGTTTTAAAATTAATTTCACAGGCGAATACTCACTTGGCTTTGTGCTCTGACTCAACTGGTTGCTGCTTTCCTGACAAAGAGCTTTCATACTCTAAACCCCTACAATAAAGAATAAATAATGTTAATAAGAGTGCACACACTGAAATGTCTCGCCTGCTTTTCAGACCATTGATTTTATGTTGAAAGTCTTAAAGATAAAGGTTTTAGTACAAGTATCACATAAACTTAATATTTTTAAAGATCCATGACAATGAGGTCAAGGTCAGATAAATCCTGTCAGATAGATATGTACACCTTACAATTATTCCATACACCAAATATAGTTGACCTATTGTTTATGGTAATTGAATAAACTGCTTCGCTGAGCGCAGCTGGATACGCCCGCAGAGGTCCAACCCTGAACAGTTGGGGCAAAAATGGACACAATATTCAAGCTTGATACAGGTCTGAATTTGGATTGTAATTAAATATTTGACATATTATAGGTTTCTGAATAAATGTAGTCAAAGAACTTGAAATTGGTTATATGAATTGAATTTATATTCAATTAAAGATTTCTTTCTGTTGTGCAATACACTGTGCTGTTGCGCAATACTAGTAAATCTGTTGTCAGACTATAAACAAATAAAGTTCAATAACTTCTCAATGTTATTTTAGAAATTTATAAAAAAAACTAAAGGGAGGTTATCTTAATAGATATAAACTAGAGGCTCTAAAGAGCCTGTGTCGCTCACCTTGGTCTATGTGCATATTAAACAAAGGACACAGATGGATTCATGACAAAATTGTGTTTTGGTGATGGTGATGTGTTTGTAGATCTTACTTTACTGAACATTCTTGCTGCTTACAATTATCTCTATCTATAATGAACTTGGCCCAGTAGTTACAGTGGAAAATATTTTGTAAAAATTTACAAAAATTTACAAAATTTATGAAAATTGTAAAAAATTGACTATAAAGGGCAATAACTCCTTAAGGGGTCAATTGACAATTTTGGTCATGTTGACTTATTTGTAGATCTTACTTTGCTGTACATTATTGCTGTTTACAATTTATCTCTATCTATAATAATATTCAAGATAATAACCAAAAGCTGCAAAATTTTCTTAAAATTACCACTTCAGGGACAGCAACCCAACAACGTGTTGCCTGATTGGTCTGAAAATTTCAGGGCAGATAGATCTTGACATAATGAACAATTTTATCCTCGTCAGATTTGCTCTAAATGCTTTGGTTTCAGAGATATGAGCCAAAAACTGCATGTACTATTTTTTAGCCTGTCGGCCATCTTTGTTCGCGGGCGGGGTCATCGGACACATTTTTTAAACAAGATACCCTAATGATGATTGTGGACAAGTTTGGTTAAATTTGTCTTAGTAGTTTCAGAGGAGATGATTTTTGTAAAAGATTACAAAAATTTACGAAAAATGGTTAAAAATTGACTATAAAGGGCAATAACTCCTTAAGGGGTCAACCGACCATTTTGGTCAAGTTGACTTATTTGTAGATCTTACTTAGCTGAACATTATTGCTGTTTACAATTTATCTCTATCTATTATCATATTCAAGATAACCAAAAACGGCAAAATTTCCTTTAAATTACCAATTCAAGGGCAGTAACCCAACAACGGGTTGTCCGATAAATCTGAAAATTTCAGGGCAGATAGATCTTGACCTGATAAACAATTTTACCCCATGTCAGATTTGCTCTAAATGCTTTGGTTTCAGAGATATAAGCCAAAATCTACATTTTACCCCTATGTTCTATTTTTAGCCATGGCAGCCATCTTGGTTGGTTGGCCGGGTCACCGGACACATTTTTTAAACTAGATACCCCAATGAGGATTATGGCCAAGTAGTTTCAGAGGAGAAGATTTTTGTAAAAGTTAACGACGACGGACGACGAAGACGACGGACGCCAAGTGATGAGAAAAGCTCACTTGGCCCTTTGGGCCAGGTGAGCTAATCAGTCATCAAAGTTTAATGAATACTGCTCTAAGCACTTTAAGGAAATTGTCCAAAAACTTGAAAATCACCCCTTTTTTTATGAATAAAATCTTGTAACTCGGAAACATAAAATCTAAAATTTATAAAAATCAAAAGGGAGCTTACAACAATAGATATTAACAACTTACCAAAATTTCATAAAATATGCTGAAAGCATTTTTGAGTTATTGTCCGAAAACAGAAATATCCCCCTTTTTGTAACGAATAAAACCCCATAAATCAGAAACGTATAGTCTAAAATTTATAAAAATCAAAAGGGAGCTCATGTCGATAGCATTAAACAATTCACCAAAGTTTCTTGCAAATTAATGAAATTGTTTGTGAGTTATTGTCAGAAAACTGAGAAATCCCCCCTTTTTTAATGAATAAAACTCCAAAATTCGGAAACGGTAAATCCGAAATTTATAAAAAACGAAAGGGAGCTCACGTCAATAGATATAAACAATTCACCAAAGTTTCATGCATATTGGTAAAAGCGCATTTGAGTTAATGTCCGACATGTTGACGACGGACCGACAGACGGACGGACGGTCAACGGTATACCATAATACGTCCCGTAAACGGGCGTATAAAAACAGACCAAAACAAAAAAACAAAACATTGACCAATGAACCATGAAAATGAGGTCAAGGTCATATGATACCTACCAGACAGACATATACACCTTACGATTATTCCATACACCAAATATAGCTGACCTTTTGCTATTAGTATTTGAAAAAAAAATAGACCAAAACAAAAAAGTTAACATTGACCAATGAACCATGAAAATGAGGTTAAGGTCAGATGATACTGGCTAGACTGAAATGTACACCTTGCAATCATTAAATAAACCAAATATAGATGAACTATTGCCTATAGTACTTGAAAAACAGACCAAAACACAAAAACTTAACATTGACCAATGAACCATGAAAATGTGATCAAGGTCAGATGAAACCTGCCAGACTAACATGTACATATAGTTGACCTACTGATTGTAGTATCTGAGAAACCAACCTAATCATGAAACTTTACTTTAAACTTAAAATCAAAAGTTATAAAACAACTGTCCCTAGAGTTGGTATACTTTTAATTATAGTTTGTGACAGTTCCTAAAAGGAAATGATATTCTTCATACTATATCTGTGAGTCAAGTGATCTACAAATATTTATAATCATCCTATTACATAAGCTTGACCTTGGTTTTTTTACTCCAGAAACTAAGTTTGAACACAAACCTTGTTGTCATCCTCTGTCTGAGTTTCTTGCATCTCTTTTTCATAGATTTCAGTCTTTCCTTCTCTGATACTATCTTTGGATGTGTGCTGTTACTGGGAGCATCCACTATATGTTTCAAGTTAAACTTTTCCTATTTACAAAACAATGTTAAAAATATTTACTCAACAAATTCATCAATGACAGTTATCTAAACTATAGACCTTTTACAACAATAGAAGGGAAAAAATAAAGAACTTGGTTATTAAAAATTTGTTATTTAACATTAAAAGTGAGATCAGTAATTAAAATGATCTAAATTAACATCTTAGAGTTGAGACTGATTATGTGTTAAGATTATTAGAGGCAAAAGACAAAATGGTAGTTAGGGCTGTTCCTAAAAAAAAATACATGGGACCAAGGGAAGTCACTTCCAAAACTCAACTATTGGTGGGTGTCATCTATGTTTTTGCATTGTGGATATGTAAGTAAAATTCTTATTTGCCTCTATAGGTGGTTACCCCATTTTTAAAGTGCCTTCCCTGGGTACCATGTGTTTTAATGGAACAGTCCTTATTTATAATGTAATCAAATCTTAGTTCTTTCAAAATAATTCTTATAATAAAACTAAAATTGATACACAGATGCAGGGAATGTCTTGGTGCAGTCATACCTGTCTTACTAAGACATAAAATGAATATTCATTGATACTTTAACCTTTATTAACCCAATACCTGTCAAGTTTTAACAAATACTTTAGGTAAAAGAATTTCTATTTAGACAAGTTTCCTTATATTCAGAAAGGATATATACTGTGGATTAATTTATTTTTGTTGATACCGATTTTGGTGAATTCTGAAAAAATTGTAGTTTTGTGGATACTTAATTTCTGGGGTTTTTTTTCCTCTCAAAAGTTCTGCATACAAACATATATGAAATTTGTATTTTATTGAACTTTTGAATTTGTGATTCAACTATATCCACAAATTCCACATAAAATTGTTACCCACCAATAATAATGAATCCACAGTTTAACAATGAAAATATCCTAATAAAGGTAAATTTGTTTCTTGCTTCTTGTGTTTAATAAGAATATATAATAAACTTACAATTTCTTCTTTACACATAGATCTACCAGAATTGTTGTCTTTTAGAGCTTGCTGATGCTTCTTTCCTCTCAGATGGCTCAATAAGTAGACTTCTGATATGATCTGCAAAATTAATATACTTATTTCTCAAAACAATTATTTAGTGTATGTAACCTAAGCAGTAAAGTGTACAAACGCTTTCAAATCTTAATGGTTTGCATGGAAGACAAACTTCTTTATGTGTTTTGTACGGCATAGGAAGGTGTCATCCACTAAGTTGTTAAAAATTCTCAATTCCTATCTTTTAAGTATTGTAAATTCAGAAATTATTGTGTTCATTTATCATTTATCATTGCGATTTTTGAAGCATGGACAAAAATATGAGATTAATTATTGCGATATCAGCAAAATCTGCATACAGGTATATGTAACATATATCAGAATGCAAGTTCTTATTATTGCGTTAGTCACACAGTCACATTATTCGCATTAATAAAAACCTCGCGATAATTTCTGAAATTACAGTAAGTATTTTTACTTTGCTATTTGATTAGGCAATTGAAGGTAAATGTGTAACAAGAGTAGGAACAATTTGGGGGGTTATTTGACCTTATATATTTGACCCTATAAATTCAAAGAAAAAAAAATGTATGATACCTTAAATGAAGATATTTTCTAAATGTCTGAGTAAAGGTTTAATAAATGAATACCATATATTGGGTTATTTTTCGTGTCAGGTTTTGTTCATGGTTAGGGCCTTAGATGGGACAGTTAAAATTTTCGCTGTGAATATAATTCGAGCTTCAAGAGCTTTTACAATGCATTTGAATGAAAAGAAGTAGAATGTTTGCGGTGTAAATTTTGACGTACAATGTACATGACCTATACAGTGAAAAGTAGTCACTCGAAAATTTCCAAATTTACAGTATATATGCTGTAGAAGGCACAATTTTCCTGTATTGTCATAGAAGTTAAATGTCAGACAAGAGAAATTCACCAAAATTTAGCAAAAGTATACTATCAGGAATATTTGGGTTCATAGCATATGAGATTCACCTAAAATTATTATTTATAGCAAACTGGTATCTAATTATGAAACTCACCTATTTGTTAATGTTACACAGTGGATTCACACATCATAAACATTTACAAATTCACTGTATTTATTATCATTTCAAAGTTGTATAAATGGTAAAAAGTAAATGTTGAACAAAAATGGCAACATTGAAATTCAGCATAATTTTTATTCTTTTTACAGGAAAAATTTTATAAAACATTTATTTCGATATGCTTATTTTCTTGCTGTTTGGTCCCAAATTCTTCCTTTTCATTGAATAATACTTTGTCACAAGGACATTTCACTATCTATAAGATTTTTACATGGAATCTGTTATAAAAGTTACCAAGAATTCCACAGAAAAAAATAATAATTCACATACCAGTGCATTACAAATAGTACACAATTTCTTTTTCTCATATGGTGTACTTGTGGGAGCATCATTATGATCCTCTGTGGAATGTCTCAGCACACTCATCTCAAATGCTTTCTCTCGGATCTGTTGCAAAGCTTCCTGATGTCTTTGGGTTGATTCATCTTGCTGTAAAATTGAAGAAAAACAAATGTGATATTTAAACCAAAGAAATACTGAACTTCAAAAAATGATCTTTTATTTCCGAAATTGTCAAAGAATAGGAAATGTGTGTTATTTTCAATAAAAAAGTAATCAAGCATTTTTAATGTATGCTTTTTATTCCATGCCATTTTAAATTTTATGAAGGAGCTGTATCAACAAAATGTGAAATTCTGGAATACACCATGTTGCAGATACACTGAAAATTGTGCAAATAATATGAAGTCATTACTTGTATACTGGTTATCAATTCTTAAAAGTACTAGATTAAACCAAAATCTATAAATTACCAAATTTATCTTTAAAAATATTTATAAATCTTTGCTGAACAGAAAACTTATTGTTAAAGAGTGTTTTTCTATTGATAACAGTGTAACTATTCACACGCAATTACAATTGATTCGTTATTGTTCTTAATATTTTTACAAAATGTTGAAAATATCAATAAATACATTCACTTTAGTTAATGGTGTACATCTATCTATCTGTTTACTGCAAAATGCTTGAGATAAGATCTCAAAAGAATTGAAAATTTAATATTTCATTGCATAGAATATCAAATTGAAACAATATGATCAGTTGGTTAAAAAAAATATTATAGTTGTTCAAATTTAATGCATCAATATTACAAATTAGGTTATTTAACTCTACAAGGTGGAAAATAATATAATTGGTATATAACATCAGTCCTCTTTCAGACAGGTTCTTCATTTACAAGTATGTATATAAAACACATTATTTCACTTCATATTTTGGAATATATATCTTATCAATAATAAAGAATAACCTTTTGTTGTATCTTTTTTTGTAATTCTTGGATATGAGCTTCATGCTGGGCATTCAGTACTGCCAATCTTTCATCTCTTTCCCTAAAACATACATATCATCTTTCAGTACTGTTAATAATAATATTGTTTAAAACCATATGTTTAATTTCAATCTAAAAGAAAATCAACAATACTAAATGAAATCTCTGGAAATCACAATAGTTAATCTCACGTTTTTGTCCATGGTTTAATAATCACAATAATAGATGCAACCAAAGATTTCTGAGTTTACAGTGATCCCTTGACATGAGTTTGATTTCTAAGCCATATTTTTCTAATATCAATATGCTCATTGTTCTATCTTGATTATTATTAGTATTATGTTTGATTTAATTGCTTAAACAGTTTAATAATCTGCATTGCAATGACTCAAGCCATGATTTAAGCCTGACCTTTAACCCCTTCCTTTAAAAAATCAATCACAGCCAGTTTGACAAAATGTACATGAAAGACATAATTTGTAGTTACTTTTCCTTTGCTCTCAGTGCATCAAATCTCTCCTTTTCCTTCTCAAGCTGCTGAGCTGTAAATCTGTTTTCTCTTTGCTTCCTCTTTGCCTCCATCTCCTTTAGCCTTGCTTGTTTTTCTGCCTCTAAAGCTTTCCTTCTCTCCTCTACTGCAGCCTCTTTGGCTAGTTTCTCTTCATGTTTCCTCTGACGCTCTTCCTGTTAGAAGTATCATTTGAATTTTATTTCAAAGCCAAAAAATAAGGTATAACACTTTAAAAAGAACATAAATATTGTATCAAAGTTTATCTATCTTACCAAAAGTGGTAATTTTATAAATTGTATTTGGTTGCTATAAATATAAATCAAGGTCTATCCTACAAAGACATGTGAGTAATTTCAACTTTTTGGAAAATACACCTTACAGTTAAATATTTTGTTATGTAAAGGAAATAGCTCATATCTAATTATTTCTATTTTTTGCATTGGTTGATAAAGTGTAATGTTTGATTTTGTCAGTTTTTTATGGACTTCCCTTTTTTTAATTTACCTGGGAGTTCAGTATTTTTGTTATACATTTTTACAAGATGTTATAATTAGGCCAACCCTGGCAGTTTTTCTTCAAATGCAAAGCAAATACATCAGAAAAGTTTAACAAGATTCTTAACATTTGGCAAACAAATGTTTAGTTAACATCTGATGGATTAAAATTAAAAAAACATAGTTATCAGAGATATCCTGCAAGCAGCTTATTGTTTCAACAGTAAATTTCAACTTTTATAATAATACGATATGGTCTTTGACATTGTTTTCAATTAAAAATTTTCTTTTGTCTGGAAACCAATAAAAATATCCAAATAGTTTAAAATAATTTTACGGGCTTAACCCATATCAAAAAATTCCAAAATGGACAAAATTCAAATTAATTGTAGTTTATGTCCATGACAATACATTAAAATTTAAAGATTCTGTCAAGAAGCACGAGTTTTCATTGGAAAGCCAAAAAAAATTCCCTTTTTTTAAGATCATTAAGGTGCATAACTCTTGCATGTAAATGACGCAACTGTCAAAATCAAAACTTACTTGCATTCTATGGTTCACGACATTGTGTGAAAGCTTAAAAGGATATTGTGAAATATTTATTATATAATCATCCAGAAACAAAAAGCATCTTAATTTTTTAAGATAGCTTAAGGACATAACTCTAAAAATTGTGGTCAAATTTCAAATGATTTGGTCAAGCAGTACTTTAATTATTATCAGACAAACATATGCATCAACATGTACCTCCCCTCCTCATTCATGGCAGGTTTATATCTCTTTGTTCAAAATTCAAGGTGTCTTAAAAACGGAAATTTGCCTTCTTTATTTCCCACCAAACTTTACAATGAAAGAAAATGTTTTGAAGAAGAAGTCACTAAGTTGTTAACCTGTTTTTGTCAGAGACATTTGTCATTTTGATCAAACTATCAAAATGTTAATTTATACGTACCTGAATATCTTGCAGCCTTGCTTCTGAGACTTGGTGTTTAGACATTATTTCATGCCTTTTGTTCTGGGCTTCTAATGTATTTATGAAAGCTATTTCATTTGCCTAAAATATGATAAAGAAAGATATCAATCTATTGACCAAATAATTCTGTTTGATCTAAATATTTAAAGAAATAAAAAAAATAGAGAATCAACTTGGGTTAAATCAGACGTCATAGTAATATGTAATATGCAAATAAGATAATAATATGCAGCTGTGATATGCAAATAAGAATAAAATCTATATATGCCTGAACAATATTTTATCCGTTAGATTTCCAATTTCTTTCTTTGAATATAATTATAAATAAAATGTTGACACAGATAATTGTCTCGCCTGTCAGCATAAAATTCATAAAAAGACAATCTGATGGACAGCAACATGATTTATTAATTCAATCGCTGGACCATTATCTAGTAGGCAGGGCCTGAAAATAATCGCCTAACTGATAGTAATACAACTTTATATTAAACATCATTGATCTATCACAAGTAGATCCTATCAAACTAACTTAAGCAGAAAACTTAACATTGAAAATTGCTAATTATTCAAAGTTACTGGACCATGACCTAGGGAGAGGGCCTCGAAGTAGTCATCAAACTGATATGTTCCGATAGTTATGCAACTTTATATTAAATATCAATGATCTATCACAAGTAGTTCCTATCAAACTAACTTAAGCAGAAAACTTAACATTGAAAATTGCTAATTAATTCAAAGTTGCTGGACCATGACCTAGGGGGAGGGCCTCGAAGTAGTCGTCAAACTGATATGTACCGATAGTAATGCAACTTTGTATTAAATATCAATGATCTATCACAAGTAGTTCCTATCAAACTAACTTAAGCAGAAAACTTAACATTGAAAATTGCTTATTAATTCAAAGTTGCTGGACCATGACCTAGTGGTAAGGGTTTGAAATAGTCATCAAACTGATATGTACTGATAGTAATGCAACTTTATATCAATTATCAATGATCTATCACAAGTAGTTCCTATCAAACTAACTTAAGCAGAAAACTAACAATTGTTGACGCTGCCGCCGCAGGCACTTTCGCAGGTGAGACAAAAGTCATTTGTAATTACTTTAATATATGTGTAGGAAAACTATCACAAAATTTTTAAAGATTATTAAATCTCTTTCAATAAATGAATTAGCTTTAGGACAATATTAGGATATTAAGGCTGAAATAGGTCACATATAGATTTCCTCAATTTGTTTTATAGCAAGTTTGAATGTTATCTACCTTGGCTTCCTCTTCATGAGCTTTCTGTGCTTTCAGTTTTAGTTGAATTTCTCTTTTTTCTTCAGCTTTCTGCATTTTCCTTAAGATGGTTTCTTTCTTCTGGTTCATTAAATCATCTTTTAATGCTCTTACTTCTTCAACCTGTACAAAGACAAGTTAACACTTAATAAACATCAATGGTAATCTATTAAAGGGTAGCATGAAAATATGGCTAAAAATTACAGCTATAAAATTTCGAAGAAATGTAGTCTGAGAATACTACATTTATATCAACAAAGCAGTAACTGTGCAAGTACTTTCAACTGTGTTTTTGTAAGGTCCGTTCCAGAAACACTTAAGTGTCTACTTCAGTCGATTCAATTAGTTTATATAAAAGATTTGAACTGATTTGGTCATTAAAGACGCTCAAATTCAAGCTTAAATATGAAAAATCTATCAACTATGCCATAAAAACATCACTTTTCAGATGGTTTTTGTTTTAAATGGAATTGGCTGCATTCGTGTTCAGTCTCAACCTTTATATATGTTATGTATTATCATCAAATACAACATATATTTAAATATTATTAAGACTGAACACAAATGCGGCCACATCCATTTTAGACAAAAACCGTCTTAAAATTAATACAAATGCTACAATTGGTAAGATTTCAGTAATTTTGCATGAATTTATGATGCTATTACCTGATGTATGTGCATTGTATTGAAAAAAAAGCCCATATTTATGGAACAAAAGTATTCTACTTTCCAATAAAGAGCTAAAAGGTTACTTTTCAACAAATTTGTAAAAATGCTATATTTTGGGGTCAAAAAGGGGTCCTACCGGGCATACTCCTTTGCAAGCTTCAAGTCTTTTTTTTTTAATATATTTTTTTAAAAACAAAAACTGTTAAACAAGAGTTGCAGATAAAAAAAAATAGCTTCCCTGACTTTATTTAAATCATTAAACTTGTTTTCAAACTGTTATGTTGTCATGAATATAGTTTTCTTAATGGCTCAAAGTAATTCACAACTTCATGAGCTGAAATTATAATGCATATAATATAATGTTCCAACTCCCCAAGGTTAAGTTGGCCTAAGATGAATTTGGCTATTATTTTTAGGTCCCCTTTTGTCATATAGCTCCTAACAATTCAATGTATTTATACATTCATGGCTTTCCAAATTCTGGCTTTGATCTTTCCTGATGAGACTAAATCCAGATAAGAGTATTGGATGCATGCAATTAAATCATTAATAGTGTTATTTTCTTTTTTCCAGCAAATTTGTTTCATTAAATGGTTTTGTCCTTTTATTATCTGTGACCTTATTAATTCAACAGTAGTAAAATATTTTTGAAATTTTCAGTCATACATATTGAAATGATGAACAACTATGAACCTTCTTAGACAATTCTTTCAGTCTTTCAGCTTTTTCTTGCATTAACTTTTCTCTTTGTTCTTGGGCTTTGGCTTGTTTTTCTTCATGTCTTTTCTTTGATTCTGTAGGTGATCTATAAAAAAACAAGAATGCATGGTTTTGTCAACCTCTGTTATGTAGAAAACTCGGAAAGTCGAGGTATTTGGTCAGTCAAGGTAAAATTTCCGTTTGTTCAATGTATTACTAACTCTGATGAGTCGAACTTGGTTGAATCTATTCCCTTCGACTTCAACTTATCAAGGGTCGACTGTATCAGCAAACAGTTAGTAGGTGTCTTGATAGATTTGAGAATTGCTTACATGTTACAACTCATCAATATCAAGCTGCTGACCATATATGAAATCATTCAGTCCAGTAAAACTGGAGAATTTTTTGACCCAATTTTTTTCCAGAAGTACCTAAGAAAAGTGAGACGGAAATATTTGTTTTACCAACATACAAATGGACAGAAGGACAAACAAACTTACTATTGTGTAGGATATTTGATGATTTACGCTTACAAGATATCTGGGGTTTGAATTACATTTTAGAGATATAAATAGATTTAATTTTTTGTTTAACACACATCATATTATCAGACATATACATAAAAAGACAATATATCAACTGTGAAATATTTACAATAATTCTGTAAATTCAAGAAATTTTAACTGAATAGGTTTTGCAATATATAAAAACTTACATATCAAATTTTGATAGCAATTATTTTATACAGCATATTTCCTGAAACTTCAATAATTAATCTTGCATGTTTTTCATTATTCAACAATTAAAAATTACTAAATGAGGGCAGAAATTTCTGAATATAACTTACATATTATTGCCTAAAATAGAAAGAAGAGTAATCTACCTTTTACGAGAAGGTGACGATAGCTTTTCATGCATGTGAACAGCATGTCCTGGTGTTCTTACTTCATCCTCATCATCTTCTACAAGATCTCCCCAAGATTTGTGAACTCCACTGGCCTTCTCCTCTAAAAAGTTAATACATAGTTTTATACAGAAACAAAATTTTTGGGTTGCTTTCGTACAGTCATCGGTACATTTAACAACTAGCTAATATTTGCATATCCTTGTTCGAGCCTATTCAATGAGATGTCCTGACTCTTAAGACCTTTAGTGAAACAATAAACAAGTTGGTTTCATTAAATGGAAATTATAAGAATGTGTTTCATGGACTTTATATATAGACACTTACCTACCAGTGGAAAATATATGATTGATTCTGTATTCTCTGTCTTAATATGTGCAAATATAATGCATCATAGATTTTAAAACTTCTTCATTTTTCTTTTATTTTGCATCTATAAATACCTCAAATTTTTGTACCTGCACATAAATTACAAATAAGCATAAAATAAATATACCTTCGTACAGTGCTACCATTGAATCCCAGTCAAGAGTCTGTTGCGAATTGTCTAAGGATGAACTCATTGTGTTCTGTAATAAACAAATAAATATTCTTAAATACTGAATGGGTGATTCCATTAGATACTGTAATTCACAGGTCACCACACTTTAGAATTTGAAGTGAAAACCAAACATAGAGACTTCAGGGAGAATTAAGGGATCTGGATAATGCTTTTTATGTATTTAATTTCCCAGCATCAAGATCTATAGAAACAATTTTCATGACAACTGTAAAAGTTTATTTTCCTTGCCTTTAATAATTGTCAACTTTGAGAAACTAAGTTATGTTGTCAGGTCACAATCCCCTGAAATTAAGCTGGCTGACCGGTAAGAAACAGAGTCATTTTGTCACAGGACTATATCTATAATGCAATAAATTTGCCTCAATTAGAAATTATGGTTTCATGTAGTAACATGTTTTTTCATCAAATATCAGAATCATGTGTATTCAGATTGAGAAATTTTCAAAAATCATGAGCGACATTTGGGAATTATTTGAAAATGGAGGGCAACATAAAATTCTCTGTGAAGTTGGGAATCCTAGGGTGATAAACTCACCTTCTTCGCACGATGTGGTTACACCTGGTATTTAAATGACTTTAAAAATGTAATTCAAAGAAACATTTGCATGTATTTCTGATTGGTCATTCATTATAAAATAAATATATAAATAGAATATAGTTTATTTCTACAGCTATTTTTTTATTCTCTTTTTTTTATTAACAAATTTAGTTGCTCAACAAATATATCATCTTCATATTTTTCATATAAGAGTTGTCTCCCTTTTTCATAAAATCCAATACGATACTGATAGTCTTTATTTCTGATAAGGATTAGACCACCTCAGGAGACATTATATAATCAGTTTTCATGTCTTACCATATGTAAAATCTTACAACTAACCCCCAATTCACTTTCTGTTTCAGTTTCCACATCGATGACAGTATTCTCCTCCTTTGCCAGTTCTTTAAGCCAGGACTCTTCCTCCTGTATTACATTTTCCAGAGCTTGCTCCTGAGCCTTCACCAACTCATCAGTCAGGTCATTCTCCTCATCAATAACTGATGCTAAAGCCTAAAATACATTTTAAATTAAGTTTAAATATACATGTCTTTTTCTATTATTATATAAATTATTGACCATAAATCCAGTACATGATAAGAGTACATGCATAAGTTCATTTGCAATTATTTGGTATATGTCGAGCATGAAATCATGAATTAAGAAACCATTAAAATTAATCCAGATTATTTAAGTGCTTCCAGTTTGATTCGTGCATAAATAAAAGAGCTGAAACAAACTACTATTCATTTTCAGACATATACCCAAGCTTATTTTAAACAGAATTATAAAAAATTATAGTAAAAATTGAAACACAAAATTATTAACATCCTTCCAAGAATTTTTAATTAACACACACAAAAAAACCACCTTTTTAGTCAGGAAATATCTCAAATGCAATTTGTGAAAGGAGAGAAAATTAAGGTCCTAATTTTATTACAAAATCCAGATTAAATTTTAAACAAAACTGGAAGCATTTAATAATTGCATTGTACCGGTATATTAAAAATAAAAATAAAGATTCATAAATCAAATTTGGTGGTAAAATTGTTAATTGTTCAGTTTTTGAGGATTTAACTAGACCTGAAGACAGTGACCTTCAATTGTATATATGGTTATAGAAAAGGTATTTATTATTCTTACAAAAATATCAATATCTCTATCATTATATCTGTACAAAAAAGTTCTATTTGCAAATGATCAGGGACAGATTTTAGTGCAAAATGAAAAAGGATTGATTTTAGTGCAAAAAGATAAGGCATTGACTTCCGTGCAAAAAGATAAGGGACTAATTAAAGTACTACAAAATAAAAGCCAACACTTAATTTACATAATTTTGCTAAATAAGGGTCTGCAGTATAAAGGATATCTGTCACTTACATCTTCAATTTGACTAATGTCTTCTTCAGTATCATCTTTACTCTCTGAAATATTTCTTGTTCGAAGTTCTTTTGTTTCAATTTTAACAGGATCAATTTCACTTTTTTTCAAAGTGGTCTGTGGACTTGCTCTAGACTTCTCCATTTTACTGCCAGAAGGGGGTTTGGCAGCAATTGCTGGTGTTGTTTTCAATTCCCCTCTTGGACTACTAACATTCCTTGCAGTATCACTTCTTGGACTGCTCAGATTCCTAACATTTTCACCTCTTGGACTACTTATGTTTCTTGTAGTTTTTGCTATAACCTTAGATTCTGTCAGGCTTTGAGGTCTCTCTTTAATTGTTTTTGTGTCCTTTACAGTTTTAGCATTGCTTATCACAGCCTGTTTGCTTTGAGTGTTGGTCCCTTTAACAGTCCCACTATAAGAACGGCTGGTATTATTTACCACTGGTGAGTTGTTCTTAGTACTTGCATCGTTTTTACTTTTGACTGGTTCATTTTCCTTCTCGCTATCATGCCTAGCACTTTTATTAGGTGCAGTCTGATTACCTTCTGACAAAGATTTTTTCATAGTATTGAAATGTCCTCTATTTTTCTTGATCAATGGAGCATGTGGATCAGACAGAGTTCTTGTTATGGCTTTAGCTGGCCTTCCAACAGTTGAAAGATTTTCTAAGGAATTTCTAGATCTAGATTTACCTCCCCTTTGTACTGTTTCCCAACCATCATCTGAAAGATATGAAATCAAATAGTTATCAAATGTAACGTATTAATTAGAAAATATCACACAGATTAGAAAGAATTTATAGACAATGAAAAATGAATAAAATACTTGGATGAGCCAAGTCCTACAGAAAGGTTGTAATGAAGTTATGATCACTGGCATACAAATAAGTATTTCTTCTTGAAACCTTTTCTAAAACTACAATTCTTACTATAAATACATTCTGTGTAAAAAATTGTTTAAGTTTGGACAAGTAATTTAAACTAATGGAAAGTCTGTTTCTAGACAGGGCAACATTTGTCAGGGTTTTTTCCATGTTGTTGATAAATTCTGGACTGATTTACTTTGCAAACACAGAAGACATGATTCATACCTTCAAAAGTGTTACTGCCATCAGTATCTGCCTCAGAAGCAGACAATCCATTCTGATGTACAGGTGGTGATGGCAGAGTTAATACAGGAGACTCTTGAGTTTCTGAAAAGTTTGGTGTCTCTTCATTAGGTGACAAGGGAGATGGAGGTACTATCCCTTTCACTCTGTCTGCCCAACTGTTTCCTGGACCGAAATGTCAAATTGAGAACAATTAAGCATAAAATTTATTTAAGGTATAACACCATATTCAAAAGATTTACAGGTAACTTCCAGTTTCATGTCTATCGATATAATTGAACAATACACATGTTTCTTGAGACTTGTTTTTCTTACATTTCTTCTTTTATATCACTTCACTGTCGCTTCATTATAACCGTATAGAAGAATTTTTCAAAGAAATTTTTTAATTAATTACACATACCGTCTTTAGGTGTGGATAGTACGTGGGTTTTTACCCTGGGAATGATTTCTGAAAAGGGGGTGCGTAAAAAGTATGGCTACACTGTTCTTTCGACTTTTTTTCAGTCCGAATTCCAACCAAGAAACCAGGTGGTCTGGATTAAAATATTTTCGTAGTATAAACGTGATTGTTGTCTCGTTCTAAATTTATATTTGTACCTTCTTGTAACGGATTTGTAATGTTATATGCAAATAAAAATCATTTTAATGCTTTAGTAATTGTTTTTTGCTTTTTCTTGTGTTCTGCATTGCCGCCCGGAAGTTGCACTTGATCATATCTAAATTAGAGATGAAGGATTCTGTCAATGGCCAAATTAGTGTAGGTGTTTCCCGAGTTTATAACTTACTTTGTATATGCGTTCTAACAAGGAATTCAGAAGGTAAATGTATGAAAATTGAACGAAACAAGCCCGTTTGATGGTAGCGACTGCCATTGTTTTTTTACTTTCATAGTATCAGGTGATCACGTGTCATGTGACTTTTAAAGATTGTAAAGTTGAATAAAGTGATGATTTTAAACACATTTTTACTTTGTAACATTTTTTTTTAAAAAACCTTCATACAAATCATAATTGCAGACATGTCAATGCCATCTCGTAAACTGAACAGACTTGATTATAGGAACAAAATTAATCTGTCAATTGATTTGTTTTGACAACGATTAGACTTCCTAATTGATATTTAATAAGAGTGTGATAATCCGGATTAAACGATTCAATGAATACCAACAAACAATAAATAAAATTAGCAGAGATTAATATTCATTTCAGCACTAATCTATCAACATAAATATTACAATTTATTCATTTATTATGTAATTAAGAATATTCGTAATGATTCCGTATTCTATAAAAGATTCACCGACTACGATTTGCATTTAAACAATTTCCCGATTTAACACTTCCTGTTGTTCTCAATCAACACATCCGTGTTCTCAATCAAAACATCCGTGGAAACAATAAAGAATCAAACATCGTTTGCTAAATTATTTAATCTGCAACAATATTTTCATTATCCTGTAATCAACCAGGACTGGAGTTCAAGTTGTCTCCGAAAAAGAAATCATTTCCAATGAACACATTTTACCGAGTTTCAAGTTGGGATTTTCCAAGAAAGTCCCTGCATGTTAAGCATATGAAGAAACTTTTTTTCTCAACTTTCAAGGGTGAAAAAGGGTGTGTGTACTATGCATGAGTGCGTTTTATACACATCAAAAGACGGTAATGCATCTGTCAAGAAATTATATTACAAATGTGTATGTAGAGAAGGTGGAAATATAAACAACATTGGCCTCTAAGGAGTGAATACCATGATATACAATTAATTGGAAAACTACAAAGTAAAGTTTCATATTCCTGATCGCCTGCCAAAAGTTTAAAGCTTGAAAAAAAGTTGCACTGTGAGTATTCCGTAAACAAGAGTTGATGAGTGAAGGATGTGAAGACATACCAAACTCTATAGCGGGTCCACATGAAGCTTGATACCAAATTTCAAAAATCTCTGATTTGTAGTTCTAGAGAAAAAAGCAACGAAAAATTTCATACATGACCATTATGTCTATTAAATTCAAAGTGATAATATAATGACAAGTCCTGTGATCCCTCAGACAAAACACAGTCCAGAAGGATCATAATTTTCATCATGTCTGACAAGTATGACCATTTCCAAATCCTTGGTTGTGATTATTTTCTAGGTTAATGACTGTATTAGTGGCACTGAAATCAAAAACTTAAAAGAGATATTTCTGTGTTGCTTAGCCACAGATTTTTTAATGTTGACTGATTATACCTTTTATTGGGTTCATTGAACTCTAGAACTCTTTGGGCTGGACTTGGTGAGTTTCTAGATGGCACTTGAGAATGTGGAGTTTTTCCAGGTGACATCTTTCTTACTTCCCAAGCTATAGGAGCTGGTCTGAAACATTAAAACAGTTAAAAACAAATTAAATTACATTAAAACATAAAAAGTTTTGTGTCTTTGTATTTTCAAAGTGATTTACAATAAAGGGTTTGCTTATACTGCAAAATAATTGAACTATAAGCGGTAATTCTGTAATCATAATGGAAAGAGTCCGGACATTTTGTTCAAAAAATATCTTTTAACCTCTTCAAAATGAATATAACATATACTTTATTCTTAGATGAGTATTTCATGTTAGGCACCCAATAGATCTTATAACAAACATAATTTTTGCCAATATAATCATTAGGTTATCAGTGTATTTTATGAAATTAATGCCAATATCACCATAAAAGTTGAAATATTAGAGGGGGAGTGGTGTTGTAGATATTCTTACCTGTCACCCTCTCTTGTAGCATCATCATAAGCTTTCATTAGATGCATTCTGTCTATTAGAGATTTAAAATCATTGGTACTTTGTTCCAGCATCATAATCACTTCCTGAAATTCATTGGCTAATTAATGTACATAAAATACAGTTTACTCTGATATCATCTGTGTTTTACTACAAGATTATTGCTAATTTGATTTAAATTTGCTTTAATGGAAATTAGTCCAGTATTATTTTCGTAATTAACAAATGACATGTAAAATATCAGAGACAATAATTACTTGTTTCATTTTCACAACTGGATAAAAAACTGACTTTAAAAAGACATACAACCTATACTATAGTTCAAAATGTAAATTGTTAAACATGTAATTCTTTATTGATATAAATGAGCATCCAAAGGCAGGAACCTCACCCATCAGTGATTATCTTTAATAAAATCTGATATTTTTTTTTGTCAATCAAAAGACTATTGTTGTTTACAGCAGATCTTGTTTTGAATCTGTGAGATTTGGAGCTTGGTATGTTGAAAGACACTGTAGACTGTAGGTTAATATCTAAATGGTTTATGTTGTTGCTGCCTCATTGATGTATACTCCGATATCTCCTGTCATTTGTGATATTTACAGGTTACTTTATGTTGTTGCTGCCTCATTGATGTATACTCCGATATCTCCTGTCATTTGTGATATTTACAGGTTACTTAATGTTGTTGCTGCCTCATTGATGTATACTCCATATCTCCTGTCATTTGTGATATTTACAGGATACTTCATGTTGTTGCTGCCTCATTGATGTATACTCCATATCTCCTGTCATTTGTGATATTTACAGGATACTTCATGTTGTTGCTGCCTCATTGATGTATATTCCATATCTCCTGTCATTTGTGATATTTACAGGTTACTTTATGTTGTTGCTGCCTCATTGATGTATACTCCATATCTCCTGTCATTTGTGATATTTACAGGATACTTCATGTTGTTGCTGCCTCATTGATGTATACTCCATATCTCCTGTCATGTGTGATATTTACAGGTTACTTACTATGGATTCATTTATTTTCATGGGTTGAAGAAGCATTTTATTTTGAGGATATTTTATTTTGTGATTTTGCCAAAGTCTGCATACAAGCCTATAGAAAATGTGTACTTCATTGAACATAAATTTGTGGTTAACATATACCCATAAAATCCACAAAAAATGGTATCCCACAAAATAATAATGAATTCACAGTATCCAGAAATATTTGATTTGTTTTTTTGAGATTGACACAATAAACTGTATAGTTCCTTTACCTTACAAGTAAATCATACTATGCTCTACCAAAACTTCAAATATCATTCTACAACAATGGCATTTTTAAGGTGAAGGGGGCATTAAGTGTAACCCTTGACCATCTGTCCTTCCGTGTTTTCGTTTTTTCATTTTCCTTTGAAAAGCAAGCTTCAGCAGGGGCATTTGTGTCCTCAAACACATGTTTCTTTATTCTTATAAATTGTAGCAGCTTGGTGAACAAGGCTTTTCTGCATAATAAAACTTTTTAGAATCCTAAGTCTGATCAGAAAGAACTAAGTATAACCATGATAACACCATCATAATTCTTTGCTGCCTGAAAGGCCAAGGAAAACCATTGCCACACATGCTGTCATTTAATTAATACTGACCAATAAATAATCAAATAATTTGATTTCCTTTCACTAAACTTTTACTCAACACAAAACCTTATCTGGGATTAACTCTACCTTGCATTCTACCACACTTTCATCTTGTTCACATGTTTCATACATAGCATCAACTGCTCTCTGTAGATTGTCAAAGAGAAATTTCCAATATCTGGCCCTACGATCGGTCTTTCTGGTCCCTCCATCTGATCTTGGAGATCTAGTTAGGTCTTGCTTATATGATGATTGGTCCTCTAAAGAAGATGGTCTGTGTTTAACTTGGGGTCTCTGTTGTTGATTATCTTTCTGTGAAAGCTTTCTCTGTCTACCATGGTATCTTTGTCCTGAAAATATAATTTGTAATAATTTTAAAAAAACATGCCTGACTGACATTATTTTTCCTTGCATCAGATACAGTGGGAAACTTGTATGCCACTTCCACACAATAACAGGGGCCATAAATAAGTGCAGAGAAATGGGATCTTGAGATAACAGACACAACATCAAAACATTATCTAATTTCTATAGGACGACAAAGAAAATAACCATACTACAATTAATGTACACTTGCAACAGATGAGAGATTACTACATTAGATTTTAACGTCCTCAGCAACAAGATGGGTGCTCCACTGAAACAGGAGGTGCTTACCCTTCAATTACAACTTAATTTACCCAGTTTTTCTTGGTTAGGTTTGTGTAACTCAATCTTTATTTTTTTTGTATAATATTTTGTGGATAGTTGTTTGGCTCTTCAGCTATTTATAGCCATGGTGTAATCTGTTCCTTGACATATAGTTTTTCATTGCTCTCCTGGTACAATGTATCCTATTTTTTTCAAAGTGTTTAAGTTAGTAAACAAGATAAAGATTAAATCGTTTCTACATTTTCTATTCTCAAATTAAGATGTTGTGAGTGGGTGACAATACTTCATTTCATTTTTTCATCAATCAGATATGGCAAAGATTGGAAATAAACTGATACATACATGTACATGCAACATCAACAGTAAACCTTGTCTATTAATTTGTCAATAGAGAATATTGTTTAATTTGTATACATAATCATACATGTACTTTTATATAAATCTAATCTGTTGGTATGCATTTTTGAAAATAATGTTTCTTCTTCTTTACAGTTCAAGAAATACAACAAACAGAAACATTTGAATGTACAGAATTAAAATCAATACAAAAATAGACTGACCTATAGTTTTCATGAAGAATGCTTAATAAATTCCACATATAACACAAATCTCTATGATGGATAACAACGACTATTTGCTCTACTGAATTTATGGATATCATCAATTAATGATAGGCTACTAACATTTATATATAAGTATTCCATGTAAATCAATACACAAAAAATAGTAAACAGTAATCTAATTTGGACATGAGGAGTCTCAACAGACCAAAACAATAATACAAGACAATTATTCAAAATTGGAATAGGAGTCATAGGTCATATTCAAATGAGGAAATGGAAATTGTACTTTAATTCCATTAAATATTGATGGTGATACAAGATTCCATATTGAAGAGAAACTGTTGATTACTGACATTTGATGTGTTTCAACTGGAACTGTAATGGGAATATTCACTTTCATCTGGTAGGTTTATAATGCACATATAATTAATTAATCAGAAGCTTTAGGACAATTAAGTCATCTTCAGAAATCAGTTCAATACTCTTACAGGTTTCTTTTTATAATCTTAAATGAGTAGAGCAAGTCTAAACCCCTGTCCTGAGTGACCTGTACAATAAGATGACAAACTACTAACTACAGTGTGAACTATTGCATTCCTCCAAATGGTCATGAAATTTCTATAGAAGAAGAAATACTGAAGAATCAATATTGCACTGTTCTGTATTATACTTTTTACTTGTATTTAGTTGTTTAATCAATTTCTAAGAGATTCTACCAATCAAAACTCATTTGAATCAAAATATTTAATAAATTAAGTACAATAAAATTTTAGTTAGTTTGAATAGACCACTTTCAAGTTATGTCCTTCACCGGAAAAGTTCGTCCATTATGCGCGCCTTTATGACATCATTTACCAGATACATGTAGAGGGGACCGCCTGTATCCCTGCACTATTAAAGTTCATCAAGCGTCTTCGTGATCATCATTATGCAGTATAAACTAGAAATAATGTTTATTCCATAGGTACTTAATCATAATTCCCTAATGACAACAGTGCTGATTATCAATTATAAGAATTTAATTTGCCGAATAATTCGTACAATATAGCATCATATGACGATGCCCCTAAACGCACGAACGATGTTCACTAAAACCAAAGGTTTGACGAAAATGCAACAAACTCGAAAGTGGTCTATTGGGTACTCTCTTTTGTGTAAACTACATTTTGTAAATGTAACAATATATTTACAGCAGTTTTCACTGTTTTGTCAGCTTTTATAACATGTATACTGCTTCATCAAACTTTTTTCAAATTACTTTCTTAAAAGTTGTAGATTAGGCCTCCCTGTAAGGGAACCAGTCTACAGAGGGAGATTCCTAAATTTCTGTAAAATTAATCAGAGTTCTCCACCAATATCTCAGAATTGGCACCTACATGATCTACATGTATGTACAATGATAAAGACCACTCAACCATAAAGATCACGTTCTTGACAAGTATATGTACACAGTGGTGAGTATCAGAAAGTGAACAGCATATTACAGCTTAATTTGTACAAACCTACAAAAGAACTTCAGTAAATGCATGGTTAACAAGCAGCAGAAAATAACAAAAGGGGATTCAAAAGTCATAAGTTGGAGAGCAGCAAGATCCAATCAAGCAGCAAAGAATACCAATGATTTTTGTTATAGTTTGTTCTGGAGTTTTTACCTCAAAGTAATTTCATAACTTAGATGTGTTCCAATTATAAAGGGTACCATACCAGTTCAAGGTTGTTCTTGCTGCTACCTTCAAATTTGGTTAGACTAGAATATCATTATTGAATTTGAGTTTTGACTTAAGCTTAGAACCAAGTTTAAGTATTCCAACTGCATGTACATTAGCTGTAATCAAAGGCATGCTATGAATGAAAGAAGATTTCAGGTTTAAGTCAAGACATGTACAGCAACCCACAACCAAAAAAAAAGAGGAAAAAACATTTGGAGGTCAACATGCAGTCTTCAACAATATAAACATTATGCAAAAGTGCAAATCTCATTGAGTTCACAAAAGTTATGAAAAGATTCAAAAGATCTACAATTATCACAAACTTGACAAAGATTATAAGAAAGTTTGACATTATCTGATACCCCTACCTGAGCTTGATCTTCTTTGCTCTACGGGTACATTGTAGATGACAAGATTTCTAGCCGTTCTTCCTTCTTCTTGTACTATTTTTCTAACTCTATCATAACTGTTCATTCTATGATAATTTGATGTCTGTAAATAAAATGTACCAAAATTGTTATATAATAAAAATTCTCTTCAATGTCCCCTCTGTTGTTTTATCATTCTTTTATTTACCAAGTACACATGATATAAATCATGTATTTACAAAACACTTAACATTATCTAGCACATGAACCCATTGACAATTGGCAGTACCTGTCTTAATACTCCTGGTACATAAATATGTGTAAGTTACTATCAGAAGGAGATAACTGAAATGCATGAATTATTTAGGATGGAGCAAATATGAGGGAATATTTAACAACTCGTCAACTGTTCTGATTTATTATACATAGTATCCTACAGACTTAAAATGCAGACAAGGACTTTTGTTTCAGAATGGGAGAAATGCACTTTATTTGGCTCAAAGATGAAAATTTTGTATGCATGTGAGTATAATTATATAAATAAAGGAGAATGGAATAACGAGACAGCAACCAAACAAGTTGAGCAACATAATAAAACTAGAAACGAAACCATATGTTTATATATGTAACGTTGCAGTAAAATATGGCAGTATATACCAAAACATATATCTCTTAATACATGTAGTAGAATCCATGGTAAAGACTGAGGAAAATGTCTCAACAAAAGGAACACTAAAGATGAAATCATTTATAATGTTTATATTTTTCAATTATTACAAAAAAACTTAATTTCTAAGGGATAATGTATAAGTCAAAGTCAAGTTGAACTATGAGCTGTTGCAAATTGCTCACTAGTGATCCCCCCGCTGTTAATGTTCGGTAACAGGACAATGATGCATGAGTGTTGGATGTTAAAATACATCACAAGGTATAGTATGCTCACATGATTCCAAATTCAGAAGGCCTTGATTTGTAGTTCCTAAGAAAAAAAATATATATAAGATATTATCTGCTGCTTGTTGGTTATAATTAAGGTAAGAGGTGACAATCCCTAATCATAACAAATTTTTGACAAATTGCTTTGTTTATAAGAAATTAAATGTGGTCTTGTGTTCCCCCTTAGCAATTTTAATTTGATGCTGCTTTTATCTTTTAGAAATGTTTGATCACCAAGTAATCAAATATGTGTGATTTTCATATATATTTTAAACAAGCAACATGTTAATGATTGCTTGTTAGTTGCTCAATGTCCAGTAGTTTATCAATGTGTATATTTTACTTATATTTATCAATTGACATGATTATAGATGAAATTTCTCAATAATAAATGGTAATTTTTATAAAAGTAAACACAATCATGAAATGTTCATGCTGACTAAAAGTTTCCTTTGGTGTTAAAGTACCCTTATTCTTCTTATCTTTATTGAAGGTACATTTACATGTAATTATTGATATTTAACCAGAGCAAGTTAAACGTTCAAGAAAGATTGTTTTGTTAATATAATCATGCAATAAAAAAATAAAGATTCAATGACAAAAATATACAAGTAAACAGTAATTTTATGGCAAAAATGGAGATTAAAAAAAGGGTGAGGGAGGGGACACAAGTGCACACACATAAATCTCTAGCCTGCTTAAACTTAACCAATGAACCATAAAAATGAGGTCATGGTCAGATGAACCCTGTTAAATGAACATGTACAACTTACAACCATTCTATACACTGATAATAGCTGACCTATTTTTATAGCATCTGAGAAACGGACCTAATCACCAAAATTTAACCTTGACCTATGAACCAGGAATCCCTTTCATCACAGGGAAGACAAAACCTAGTTTCACCCTGTCACATATTCATGTTCCTGTTCCTAGACCAGTCAGGAACCTTGTCAGGAACCTTGTCAGGGGTTGTCTTATGTTATATTTAATGCTTTCTGTTATTTGGTGTTGATGACTGATCTTTAATTATTTCTATTTAATTTATTCACATTTTTTTGTATCAGGATAATTGAGATCATGGCATACTGTATAGACTACTGTTTATTGTTAAACTGTATGTTGCCCTCTAGGTGTCATTTGGTTGTTGGTGTCAGGTTGCTGTCTCATTGACATATATCACACTGTATTTCCACATCTCTTTTCATTTAAATGTAATTGGCATACAATATGGAGGGCAAGGTGAAAGGTTCTAGAGACTTGCCATTGTGGGAATCCATATACTATGCTCATTGAAATCTGAGACATCACTGCACACATGCACATTTTGGAGCAACTGAGAAATGTACATTCTATATGGAGGGGCTAACAGAAAATCTCCTTCAATAAGATAACTACATTGTACTAATACAGATAAAGAAAATATGTCCAGCTGTTTGTAATAAATTTTCTTATGGAAATCTGTACAATGATCATGAGAAATTCTAATTCTAAGGGTCAACTTTTAATAAAATGCTCCGCAGGGCGCAGCTTGATACGACCGCAGAGGTCGAACCCTGAACAGTTGGGGCAAGTATGGACACAACATTCAAGCTTGATACAGCTTTGCATTTGGATTGTGATTAAATATTTGACACAGCATAGGTTTCTGACACAGAATGAATGTGGTCTAAGAACTTAAAAATTTTAAATTGGACATTCACCTATTATGGTCCAATATCCAAAATCTAAATACATGGTTAGATTCAGCATATCAAAGAACCCCAAGAATTCAATTTTTGATGAAATCAAACAAAGTTTAATTTTGGACCCTTTTGACCTCAATGTGGACAAAGTTGATAACGGGGCCCAAAAATCAAAAATCTAAATACATGGTTAGATTCAGCATATCAAAGAACCCCATATATTCAATTTTTGTTGAAATCAAACAAAGTTTAATTGTTGGACCCCGATTTGGACCAACTTGAAAACTGGGCCCATAATCAAAAATCTAAATACATGTTTAGATTCAGCATATCAAAGAACCCTAAGAATTCAATTTTTGTTAAAATCAAACTAAGTTTAATTTTGGACCCTTTGGACCTTAATGTAGACCAATTAGAAAACGGAACCAAAAATTAAGAATCTAAATACACGGTTAGATTCGGCATATCAAAGAACCCCAATAATTCAATTTTTGATGAAATCAAACAAAGTTTAATTTTGGACCCTTTGGACCTCAATGTGGACCAATTTAAAAACGGGGCCCAAAATCCAAAAACTAAATACACGGTTAGATTCAGCATATTAAAGAACCCCAAGAATTCAAGAATAAAACCCCATTGAAATTTGTCAAGAAATAAGCAATTTATACGAAGTATCTTCTTTTGCACAATACTGTGCAATTAAATATTTCTTGCTATTGCGCAATACTGTACAATTGACAATTTCTTGCTATTGCGCAATATTGTGCTATTGGATATTTCTTGCTATTGCGCAATACTGTGCAATTGAAGATTTCTTGCTATTGCGCAATACTGTGCAATTGAAGATTTCTTGCTATTGTGCAATACTGTGCAATTGAAAATTTCTTGCTATTGCACAATACTTAAATAATTTACACATCCTGTTTGGTGTGTATCTCCTACCATATCATTATTTTTTGCTTTTAAATATAAATCAGAAATAACCAACTTAAAATGGAAAATTTTAAAAGAAAAAAAAAAGGAAAAAAAAAATCCCCCCCCCCAAATTTTTTAAACCCCCTTATGATTCATCACCCCCAAACTCATTTCCAGCCTTCCCTTTGTGGTATGGTACCTTGCAGTACAATTTCAGAGAGATCCATACACTTGAACACAAGTTATTGTCTGGAAACTAGAAAAATGTGTTTTTTGGCCCCTTTTTGGCCCCAAATTCCTAAACGTTTAGGGCAATTACCCCCAAACTCAAACCCAGCTTTCCCTTTGTGATATGGAACCTTGTAGTACAATTTCAGAAAAATCCATACACTTACACACAAGTTATTGTCCTGAAACTAGAAAAATGCTTGTTTTTTGCCCCTAATTCCTAAAATATTGAGGCAATTACCCCCATCATCAATCCCAGCCATCCCTTTGTGGTATGGTACCTTGCAGTACAATTTCAGAGAGATCCATACACTTGAACACAAGTTATTGTCTGGAAACTAGAAAAATGCTAATTTTCGGCCCCTTTTTGGCCCCCAATTCCTAAACGTTTCAGCAATTACCCCCAAACTCAATTCCAGCTTTCCCTTTGTGATATGGAACCTTGTAGTACAATTTCAGAAAGATCCATACACTTACACACAAGTTATTGTCATGAAACTAGAAAAATGCTTCTTTTTTGCCCCTTTTTTGGCCCCTAATTCCTAAAATTTTGAGGCAATTACCCCCAAAATCAATCCCAGCATTCCTTTTGTGATATGGAACCTTGTGGTACAATGTCAGAGAGATCCATACACTAACACACAAGTTATGTCTGGAAGTTACAAAAATGCTTATTTTTGGCCCCTAATTCCTTTACTGTTGGTACCATAACCCCCAAAATCAATCCCAACCTTCCTTTTGTGGTATTGAACCTTGTGGTAAAATTTCATAGAGATCCATTCACTTAAACTAAAGTTAGAGTGCGAAAACCAATGTGTCTTCGGACGACGACGACGACGCCAACGTCATACCAATATACGACCACAAAAATTTGTTTGCGGTCGTATAAAAACATTTGAAGTGGAAATGGGTCAGTGCTGTACATGTAAATGAAGAAATGTGAAGTGAAGAAAAAGAAATAATGGTATGTACTATAAACCTCAAAAACTTTTTTTGTTGCCGTCATTGTCAAATCAAAAATTTACTATCAACTACACCTTTTTTGTTGGTGTCTTTGTTAGATTTCTTCTTATGTTTGTTTGAAGTTTTTAGTTAGTTGTGTTGTTTGTCTGTGATATATGTTTACACAGTCATGACAGTTTTGGCTGCTGGATCCCAATTGTTCATGTTGTTGTCACATTAATCGATTATCTCTGTTTGGGTTGGCTTGCTAACCCAATTTTGTCAAAATAACGGAATTATAAACAACTGTCATAATAGTGGGAGGTTTAACTAGCTATAAAACCAGGATTAACTCATCATTTTCAGTGGCAGATCCAGGGGGCGGGGGTTCCATGGGTTGGACCCCCCCCCCCCTTTTTTTTTGGCGATTGTTGTAAAATTGACGGGAGTCTTTTCATTTATGGGGAATTTACACAATATTAATCACTTGAACCAGTTTGATCAGATTCTCTTTATATTTAACTGACATGATAAATGAAATAAAGTGGAACTTAGGTGTATTCTTGAAACTTACTTTAAAGGGATATTTACTACTCAATTTACATAATGATAGTTTCATGTTTGTGTTGAAAATTCAGCCAATCTACATCTTGAACTCTTGCGCTTGAGTTATCGTTCTTTGAAAACATTAATCTCTTTACTTTTTATTATTGGAATGTATGTGCTCGTTGTAAAGTTGTATATAATTATTTCTGAATTGCATGATAAGGTTATATCCTATGATGAAACTTAAAGATGTTATTATTGTTTTACTTTGTTTTCACGGCTAGTAATTCTGCGAAACAATTTGCATAGCAGGAAACAGGGCGTGATTTACGTTGTCAATCAACAGAGGAAAAACAAAACGGTAAGCAAAGTTTAGATTGCCCAGAGCTTGGACTTTAAACTTTGAGCTCCTCACCTTTTCAGAAAATTGGGTTAAATATTGGATAAAGAATTAATATTAGGTTAGTATTTTTAGTAATTAATTATTACCTATATTCTTATATATTTTATGTCATAAAGCCATGAAGTTCGTGACTTGAAAATAAACAGAATCTAGGTTTTTACATTGAAAGTTATTTTAGAGTCCAGGAATTTGTCTAAGCTAAAATTGTTATTACTGTTATTTATATGTAGTTAATATTTGGGGTTGGGCCAAATTCACTGAGTGACACACAGGTTAACGTTTTTTATTTTGTATTTTGTCAGCTGTACTAATTTATTTGTTTAATATTCGTAAATATCCATGTAAATAAATTATATTGATTTTGTACTTTGATTTCGTGAATAATTTGCCATCAGATTCTTTTCTTAAGTATTCAAACCTCTTGGAGGCAAAAATATTCACGACAGCGATCAATGCTTTTGAATGGGGACATACGATTGGAACCCCCCAGCCCCTTTTAAAATAAAAAAATGGCTGGATCTGCCCCTGATTTTCTTCGGAAAATATCTACCAAGCCAGCAATATGACAATTGTTTTTCACTTGTTTTGTTGATTGACAGCGTTTGATTTTGTCACTTTATATGGACTTCCCCTTTTTGAAATTTGCCAAGGAGTTCGGTACTTTTGTTATACTTTTATATATATCTTTTATATTTTTTTAGTGTAAAATCCAAATACATGAAATATTTAAACATGTACATGGTTTCCCTTCTGTAAAAATTTCAATATGACAATTATTTTTGTCAGTTATAAAAGTTCAAGGAGCTTATGTTATTGTTTGGTGACATGCTGACTTTAAATAAAGCTTCTGATTTGATTTAAAAGGTAATTATGATTTTTATGGTATGATTTTATCTGTAACTTCTTCACATATAACATGTATAAATGACATGTTGAAAATCAGCTTTATAATACAAATTATAAAAGTTCATATAATCCTCATTTAAGATATAAAAGTATTGATATTTTATTGTTGATAATCAAATGCAGCTGACCATATCCATAACATCAGCCATCCACAAATCATTGTCAATACATGAATAGGTTCAAAACAAGCCCAAACAAAACATGCATCATGCGTAGAAATAAATCAATCAAAAAACTACCATCAACAAAATTAAAAAAACAATGATGTATTTTTCACTTTAATATCATCTTACCGAGTTTTGAGAATTATTATTACGACCAGTTTTGTTGTATGCAACACTTTGAGCAGACGAGTTTCTGTGGTAATTTTCGCCGTTGTCTGATCGCATTCGGATGCCTGTGCTGTATCTCTTTTTCCTTGTATCACTCATGTTGTATATATAGTCACCTGTAGAAATAGGTTAGGTCATCAGTCAAACAGTCAATCTTACACCTGATATCAAATGCACTTTTCTATTTTTGGAAGATCAACTATTTATCAGTGCAGACCTGTTAACCGGAAGTGGACCGCAGTTAGGAAAATAATTATTAAGTTTGTTTTCAAATGCAATAACGATGAATAAATTTACAACGAGAACATTCTATGAAACCTTGGCGTCACATATTTACATCTGTCTGCATCGGAAAGTGCTTAAAATAAAAATATTTCGACACAAAATTCGTTCCGAAAATAAACAGTCGTTCGGAAAGTCTCCATAACATTTCAGCGCAAAATTTTGAAAACTTTTAGATTTGACAATGCAAGAAAATCCAGACGATAATTCATATGAAAACATGTTAAAACAGTCGGTAATTCAAAGATACTTTCAATTACAAATAATTACAGTAAATGAAAATTCACCTTTTAATATGATTCAAAATTTCTTCAACAAACCACATCTTGTGGCTTGTCAAGGATTTGTAGCTATAGTCTGGGAACAGTATATCTAACATCAATTGTGTCAATATATATGTTCCTGTTATAGTATACTATTGTACACTCATTAAGGCGTTTAGTAGAGTTTTTTTTACTGTCAATGGTGGTTGCGATCCTCATGTGCCCCTTCAATCAAACTTGGGAAGATGATAGCTGAAAGGTTATGGATAAAATACTTCAATTTCCAGTTCCTCTCTATGAATGAGTTACACCATATTTAAACTGACAATTTTCTCTTACTTTGACCTAATAACATAAGCATGTGACATTGGAAATGTAGCGGATAATACATTATCATAAAAGTTGTCTATTTACTCTCATACTCATAGCAGAGACATATAATATGTAATAAAATAACTAGTAACTAACCATTGGCAAAACCATACTGCATAGGCTAGCAAGCTGTATTAACACCATTTTCTATTTTGCAATTTTAATTCATCCCTTCAAACTGATCAACTGGTAAATTATTTCAAATATAATTTTTCTCATTTCTGGTAAAAGATTATTTATAGTTTGAAGCAAGTGTAGTGTAATATTAAAAATATGCTTACCCCTTTTTCAGTGATAAGATTACTTGTCTGTTTCTTGTAATTGGAAGAATTTTGAAATCCTGCATATATCAGGAACCCTGGTTTAAAAATAGTTTGACTTTGATTTGACCACTTTTATCATACTGATATAAGAAATCAATTCTAAGCATTGTTTTATTGAGCAAAATTTAATTGTGTACTTGTAATTTTAATATTTTTTATTTCAGAATAATTTTGGTTTCCAATAATAGATATCTGGTTTCACCATTTGTCTGTAACAAATATTATATGTAATGGTAATTTATATTTGAGCTGGTATCATTGTTTATTTGTAACAAATACCTGTAATTTGGATATTTATTTGCCACTGCTTTTTGGTCTTTTGTAGAAGAAATTTCTAATAGAAGTGAAACAGAATTACACATCACTTGTTCAAGAATGGAACTTGTTAAACAAAGAAATAGGAGACAAACTTAAGTCCAAGGTAAAGTATTGCTGTCAAAATTACTTTTCTTAAGGCTTTCAAATTTAAAAGTAGTTATGTTCTTATTGTTTATTTATGGAAAGTACTTTTAATTATGGCCTAAAAAGTCAAGCTATTGTAAAAGACTTGTGTATATACATGTACATTACACAATGCATGTAGACCTGCAGATTTTGTTGTTGTTGTTTGTGTCACTGAATGGCTGTTATATTGACATATATATTCTACATTTCCTTTTATTTTTATGAAAAATAAGCAAAAATTTGCAATGGATACATAACAAAATTTACATACATTACCAAAAAGATTGGACTGCACAATAGACCAAACTAGCCACCAACACCGGACTCCTAAGTCTCTGTCCTTTGAAGCAAGTTCACTTGTGTAGGAATTCCATGACAACTTTTCTACACTAGTGTAAGGAAGATATACACTAGGACATTTCATATACAGAAAATTCTACACACTGGGATGAATGTATGCTTACACAGGGACAGGATGAAGAGTGGTTGAACAAGTTTAATATCGCCACAAACCTCAGCCATTGCCTCTGGTTCATAGGTTATAAAAGTAAAACAAAAGAAAAAACCTACACTGTCTGGCATTTGCTAATATTATGTACAAAGTGAGTAAATGGAAAATACAAAAAGGTTGTTGATACTAAATTAACTTTATTACATTGTACTAAATATCACATTGGCCTTATTTTTCTGATTATAAGCTGTATAAGAAAATTGCTGTAACTGATTAATAATTATTTTTTTGGCACAAAGGGATAATACTTTACATATGTATGTATTTAGTATTTACAAAGCATATTTGTGCATGAGTTATCTCCCATGCACCAAGGTTAAAAGTATAAATGAATATTATAGAATGCTTGTTAATTCTGAAGATTATAAATGGAATTGATTTTTAACATGCAAATACAGGTGATGTAATATATACATCCACGAGACAGCAATCCAAAATACAGGTGATGTAATATATAATATACATCCACGAGACAGCAATCCAAAATACAGGTGATGTAATATATACATCCACGAGACAGCAATCCAAAATACAGGTGATGTAATATATACATCCACGAGACAGCAATCCAAAATACAGGTGATGTAATATATACATCCACGAGACAGCAATCCAAAATAAAAAATAAATGTCTGGATTCTGATTGCATTACTAGTAAACCTTTTTTATAATTTCTTGCTGTAATTAATTTGTGAAACTAGAGTGGCAATGCTCAAATATGTGCAAGTTCGCGAACAGAATTTATTTCTTTTATCATTGTTTCGATGATTTAATTTGTAGACAAACTTCAGTTTTCTTTTTCAATGATATGCCAAATGATGTGTTCTCTCTATTTAAACCATTGTCGTGACGTCAGCCTATTCATTTTCCGTGGATTCTTTTTCTAGAATCACCGCTTCCTTAATCTGTCGCTGAAATGGACTCACCAAATTATATTCAATTTTTTCCTTTGTGTGCCTAATTTCATTAAGTTTGAATTAGCTAATTTACTGATTTCTGTTCACTAATGGAATTAATTTAAAAACTTACCTTCAATTTTTGTAACTTTTATATGCCATCACTGGGAATCGAACCCCTCCATGAAATCTGTCATATGTGACTGACATCAACACATCCATGAAACCTCTCGGCTACCAATGGGTTGCAAGTTAGATGTCTATTTTATATATATAAATGAACATAGGATAATCGTCACTACAACGGACACACAGGGCTTGTACCTTTATATATACATAATAGGCAATTGTATAGTATAAATCAGTAGCCACCAGGTTAACGTGGTTAAGATCAATGAGTTGAAGATTCAAGTTAAAGGTAGAGAGAGAATTGTCGGTTTAGGTTCGAATCCCTGTATTCTTTTTGATGTATCTTTTCTTTATTTTTTCCATTTTTCTTATTTTGTATGTTAGTGTGAATATTTTTGTAATAGCTGGTTTTCCCGTTTATGTTTTTGGATTATTATTGGCCAATTCGGGTATTTGATAAAAAATGATTACATTCAATTTATCCATTTTTGTTTTATATTTATATAGTATGATTTCATCTGTTTTACTACATGTCTTTACAAATGCTTAATCGCAAATACCTATGCGAGTAAATTGTGATGTGCCAATAATAAGGGTTCTTGCTAGAAATTTTGGTAACATACTTATTATATATACTTAAAAATAAATTCAAACATGTCTTATTTTGTAAATTAAGGATGATATTCAGATGCATAATAATTCAAAGACGGACGTGTTATGTTATATTTGTATTTCCTTAACTAATTAATTGTGAACCTTGTTAATGCATCGTTGCACATGATAACATGTCTATTTTTATTCACTTACAATACCTTCTAATTAAGAAAAGGCTTTAATTTTGAAAAGAAATCAACACAATAGTTTAAGTAATAGATACAATGGATAATCGTAGATTCACGAAAAACAAACCATTCGCCCTCCGGGCTCATGGTTTCTTTTTCAAGAATCTACGCTTATCCATTGTATCTATATTACATAATGCCATCAGGCTTATTGTCACATTTTTTTATGACTTCACAATAGAAAGCTCAGAGTAAAGGAAGAACATTTGGCCTAATAATTAAAATTTGACCAATGAAGAACTGAGATCAAACAAACCACACATTGATTATAAAAAAAAAAAAGGAAAAGTATATACATGTATGGCCTAAAAATTTGAGAAAACAAGGATACTTCACATGATCATATCTTTCATTTTTAAACATTTGTGTGTATTTATAGAACACTTGGACAGTTGACAAAGAAGATCTTTCTCAGTTAGCAGCAGAAATTGCACAGTTGAAAGAAAATTTACCGAAAGTCCTGAACAAAAATGTCATCACAGCAACGTCTAAGATAAATATCATTGAGGAAGGTAAACATCATCAACATTTATCCCGTCAGAGTTTTCAAAATCTGCTATTAGTTGTGATATTGCTATCTTTTCAGACCTATAATTGTCAACAAAAAACTTGAACAATTATAGATGAATAATTTTTAAAAAGCCACCTACTCTTGAAAACTTAGCACCCTACATTTGACTTAATTTTTGTTTTTGAGAACACAGGTCTTATTTGTATCTAAGTTAAAAAATATAGCAGTTCATTCTAAATAGTCTGTTTGCCAATTCCATAATTGACCCTGTAATTAGATATCTATTTGTATGAGCTGTTTTCCTTAGGAGGGATTTTCATTGACAACAAAGAGATAGCAGAAGCTGCAAATTTATCTGTGCATAATGTGACTGTAATCTTTAAGCTTTTTCAAATCTTTAAGTTTTTTTCAAATCTTTAAGTAATATCCAATCTTGTGTTACGCTAATATAAAAACTTTAGATATCAATAGTACAATAGACAATTTAGAACTTTTTTACTTCCAAATGGACCTATAATACACGTTTGAAAGGCAGCCATTTTGATTTGATGAAGCCAAAACGTAATAGAAAATCAACCGTTTTGCGATAAAAAATTAACGGATACATGTTAACTTACTTTTAGAATGATTTTATTAAATTTCTTAGCAAGCAGCACCAACACAAATATCCATTTTAATTTCTGGCATTGTTCAATTGTGACGTCAATCACGTGCAGCCCATTTTTTATTGGAATTAGAACATGGCTTTGTTTCTAAACCGAAAGAAGAACGTCATATTAGAATTTTTATTAAATATTGGGTAAAACACCTAGTACTTTACTTTCATATTAATTCATCCTGCTTTGCAGAAGCCCATTTTGTCCAGGATAAAACCAGTCTACAATTTGCAAAGAGAAACAAATTGTTTTAAAAATGTGTTATAACAGATTCAAATAGGCAATTGACCAATATAGACTATTTACCATCACAATTTTGTCATAGGTGAATGACATAACAAATAAAATACAGGAAATAACAAAGGTATGCAAGGAACAGTTTCTCATCTCAAAATGAAGAAGGAATACATTAGGCAGTGGCTATTTTGCCGGCACTGATTAAAATATCTTAAATCAAGCTGGCAAAATAGTATATTTCTATAGAAATGGCAATTTTACCGGCACCAGCAATATAGTGAACTTGTTATTTTGCCGGTAACCGTTCTTTGTAAAGAGGGAAATTTAATATTTACTTTTAAAAAGTTCTATTAAAATGTGCACTGTCAACATAAAAGTATCAAATAATTACTGATATACCAGTATTTAAATAAGAAAACAGCTATAAACAATATTTGTGATACATATAATTGTTTAAAAACATTTATTAGTCAAAGTGAAAATAAGAATTTATAACAAGAAAAAAATTAATATTGAGCATCCATTTGTTGCAATGAAATCATATCAAAACATGTAGCTGAAATTATTTTTAAAATCAGTCAGTCTAATGATACATGTATGCAAAAGAAAAAAATCTCAGATTATGTTATAAAAAAAAATACACGTTAAAAATCTCATTGCATCAAAAATTTGATAAAACATTATACAATATAACAATTAAAGTCAATCACATACATGTAGCTTAAACAATCAAAAAAGTTTAAATTAAACATGCTTTTGAAATAATAGTCAGTTCTTTGAATTGCATATGTGTAAACAAAAAAGTTAACCATTTCTATATAATATGCTATTTGGCCAGCTTAAAATTAAGATATTTTAATCAGAGCTGGCAAAATAGCCACTGCCAATACATTACTATCATACATTTGTTGAATTCTTAGCTCTAAGACCAGTTGCATATTTTTTTATAATCAAAGTGGTTCGCTTGATCTCAGTTCTTCATTTGTCAGTATTCAATTATGATGTCAAATGTTCTTGTTTTCCACTGATTTCCCTATTGTGTTGTCTTGGACCTCGTTGGCCAAGTGGTCTAAGTAATCCAACTACTGTATCACTAGCCTGTAAGTTCGAATCCTGCACGTGGAAGGTGTGCTCAACTCATTTTTAATTGACAGCTTGGATTGTCGGTTTTCGTGCCATAAGTTGTTGTTCTCTCCTGCCACTCCGCTTTCCTCCACCAATAAAAAATGACTGCCATGAAATAGCACAATAGTGCTGAAAGTGGCGTTAAACATGATTCAATCAAACAATACGGTAAATATTGTGTTGTCATGAAAAAAGGCTACCATGCCCGATTGATACAAAGAATGAGGACATTGAGGCATTTTTACTGCAGGAGGATTTTGAAAGCAGTTGTGTACAAATTGATAATACATTTTTGCAGAAAAAAAATAAGCATGCATATCAACAGATGAATCAATCTGCAAAAAAATCCTCCTGACCCCCTAGAATATCAAATGATCTTCACAACCTGGCAATTTTATACAAGATTTTATTTTGTTTTTCTTTCAGAATTGCAGAACACTAAGAAACTTGCAGAATCCAAACAGTTAGAAGCTTCTCAGTGGAAAGCTCGATGTGAAGTGGCAACAGCAGACTGTCAAAAAGAAAAAGAGGTTGGTATCTTATCTGCCAACACTGAATTAAAATTTGTATTCAGTTATATAAAATATAACTTTAGGTAACCTGTCATCAATGTAACTGTAGAACTGTACCTTTTTGCCAAAGTTCTGTTATCACAGCAATATATTTCATTAAAAGGATAACAATAATTACCAAAAAAAAGTTTTACCTTACAACAGACCACAGCAACCACATACACATGGTTCAAATAGCTTGACTTGATACAGGCACAAAATGTGGTGGGTTTAATACAGTTTTGAGCACATATTCCTCATAAATTCATTTTGAAATAATGTCAGGTCAGAAACAGGAATGACTACAGCACATTATCATGTCATATTTTTTCTCACCAAATTGATTTGTTTTCCATTGTAATAGATAAGAAATGAAAGAGAAAGATGTATGGTAATTACATGTTCTTTATCTATAATACCAAACAGACGAAGGACAGATGAAAAATGATGGAATCATCTTCCTTAACTGAATATTGAGTATTGTTATCAATGTTTATGCTACAAATACACTACCTCTTTATTAAAATGTAGACATATTCATTCAAAGTGATCTAGATGATATGGAACTATGAAATCAGGCAGTTGACTCATACATGAAACTATTATTAAACTTTTAATATATAATTTTGTTGACAGGAGAACATAAAATTGAAATGTGAAGTTCAGGAGCTAACTCAGCAGTTATCTCAACAGTCTGATTATTGCTCCAGCCTAGGCTCAGCATGTTGTACCCTACTGTGGAGAGTATCAAGGAATGAAGAGAGTATACAGTCAATACTTGTTGGGGTAAACACTTAATTGTGGTTACCAGGGACGAAGGAGGAACAGCTGATTATTTTCCAAATGAGAACTTTTTGGCCCCTTGAACTTAAAAATATACCAAAATGAAATTTGTCAGATGTTATTAGACATTAATCTGTCAGATATCAGTTTAAACATTTTTGAGTTTTGTTTTACATATTTTCTTTAGTTTAGACTTCTTGCAGTAATGCAAACTGCAAAAACCGCCAAAACAGCCTCACTTTGGAATCTTTGTCATTCATATTTAGATATGAGCCAAGGCCATACTCAATATACCATTTTTGGCAGTTTCAGGGCTCTCACCATACCTCCTCCTTGAGCTTCATACTGGTTGGTTTACTTAAGTTACATGAAGTTGATTCCACAATGGACTTTCTTTCCCACAAATACACAGACTCAGTTTAAATGAAGTATATTATATAAGATTTATAATGGTAAAATTTTACATGGATTAACCAGACACATACAACACTTAAAAGTGATGCATACATATTTAACCTGAATGAAATATTGGTCTAACTGGAAACAAAGGTTTAGATATATGTTTCATCTTATTAAGGAGATATACCTATTTTTAAAAAATGAATTGAAAGTAAGTCTTGTACAGTTTTCTCCAATGTACATGAATATGAGATTTTTTGTATATAAAAACCTGCTCTGTATGATATGAACTTTGCATTAGTAGTGGACCACGAAAAGTAATTGTGAGAGGTGACAACTGTCAGGGTTGGTTCCTCTTAGCTTATCCTTAAAACTGCCATTTTTCCTTTTTGTAAATGAGTTCTGATGCACAACTCTTAAGATCATAATAATATTAATTGACTAATATTGAATCTTAAGTTTTTTTGTATGTCATTTTTCTTGTATGATGATTTCTATTTCCAGACTAAGATTGATGAGTTTCTGTGTCTGGTTTCCAACACTCTAGAAAGTTATTTATCAGCCTACAAAGAAGAGTGGCCACAGGATACCAGTGAAGAACAGAGCTTTATATTAGCTCTTTGTGGAATCATAACAAGTAAGTTAATTATTTGGCAAAAATTTAATTTAAAATTTATTTATTTTGTATTCTTAAAATTAAAAAAGATAACATTGCCTAAAATGATTTTTTAATTAAAACAAAATGCTTTTCTGTGACTTAAATACTATTGATAATACAATACATTTTTAATTTTCCATGAACTACGCCATTAAATTTCAAAATTGGAAAATCACCCAAATCAATTGTTTCTAGATGATGACTATTTAGATTGTTTTTATAGAAGCCTTTAATTTTGGAAAATGATTAACTTCCATAAAAGACACTTTGAAGCTGCTTCAGTTCCACAGTTATGTCCCTTGAGATAATGGACTTCTTTAAGGAAAATCCATTGCTTTTAGTTGGCTTAATCAAGGACTAAATTTTTACACCAAATGTTATATTTAAAAATGTCATTACATTTTAACATCACAGTTACTCCCTCTAACAGATGTACTGGTAATTCTTAGTTAAAGTTCACAAAGGTATGTTTTTTTTCTTCAAAAATCATGTTTGGAAATACTTTTCAATTTAGGATATACCTGTTTTATTATCGAATAAGTGCTGTTCTTAAAAAGGATTATAAGAAATATAATTTTCTACAAGAACATTAATCACATGTATTTAGGTAATGCAATATTTGGAGAGCACCTGTTTGCTATTGCAAATTTTCAATTGTCATTTTGATATCTTGAGATATAAACTGTATTGATGAATTGTAAAATAATAGCTTGGTTGAATAACAGCCAGATAGTTACATTTTATAAAACTATAATATGCCCCATCCTGCATTATCACGAAATAAAGGGTCAACCCGAACAAATTGCTAACTCAATCTAGCTCTTAAAGTATTTGTTTTGTTTGGTTGTTGTTGTAATGATGATTATCAAATATGTCCTTTTTTATATGCTAATCTCTTAGTATACAAATAAACTTTTGGACTACTTATTTAATAGAATTGATAGACATAGAAAGATCTTCAGAAACAACAACTTCAGTCACTACACCAACTAAACCAAAAAAAGAGAGGAAATGGCAGTCTATATATGTTGTAATGAACAATAACTTAAGAGATCATAACTTTTATTGATATAATAAAAACTACCTATCCAACACACGTCGTTTTAGTTTTATTTCATCATATAAAGACACAAAAAATTACATGCATCCTGGACTCATCAAAATCTATTGGGACTCACCATTTCTAAAAGTGATGAGTCCCAGGACTCACCATGAAAAATTCCTAGTGAGAACCCTGATTATTAGCTTAATATGTATATTCAAATTCCTGCACTGAGGAAGATACAAAAAAATGTTGGGCTAAATTTCTTTATTTTCTTCTCTTTGTTTTGCTTCATAAGACATAGCTGCATCAGCTCTTGGCAGAGATTTCTTGGTGACTAATCAGTATGGTAGACAGTTAATAGACACATATCTCAAAGTACTATCAGAAGCTCCCAATGGAAAAGCTGCTAAGTTGAAAAAGTAAGGATGTCAGAAATAAATATAAAATATTCATTAAAATTTATAAAGGCAAAGGTTTCAAATAGCTACTAAAGAATGTTATAGAAAATGAAAATCTTTTATTCATATACATATATATACAAAATGTAGTTGCCCCTCACTATAGGTATTAAAAATGTACTTTCTTTTACTCTCTTACTATTATGGTCCACAGGACCTGTGTGAGCTATTGCTGTCACATGGTATCCGGTATTTATTGTTTTCTATTTTCTTAAAACTTACTCCTTTGAAACAAATATGAGTACTTTATCAACCAAACATTGCCTTAATCATTTTTAAGCGGTCTGTTTTGAAGCTTTATATATTTTATATAAACTAAAAAGATCACCATGACTAAAATAAAAAATATGGGGGGAAAGTAAAAAAGACCAATTGCAACCAATCTTTGAGGAAATTATACATGTATAAAAAAAGAATATTTTGGATTAAGCCAAGGAGACAGCAACCCAATGACAGAGAAAAACCAAGTGATGTGTGTACTTTTACATTTCTTATGGAATCATTGTTTACCCCTTCACTATTTTTTATTAATATGTACAAATTGATTCATAAAATTATATACTTTAGATTTGTGGAAAGGGAATAATGTTGATTTTTGTCGAGCCTTCGACTTTAGTCGGAAAAAGCGAGACATAGCGATCCTACATTCCGTCGGCATCGTCGTAGGCGGCGGCGGCGGCCACAAATATTCACTCTGTGGTTAAAGTTTTTGAAATTTTAATAACTTTCTTAAACTATCCTGGATTTCTATCAAACTTGGACAGAAGCTTGTTTATGATCATAAGATAGTATCCAGAAGTAAATTTTGTAAAAATAAAATTCCTGTTTTTCTGTATTTTACTTGTAAATGGACTTAGTTTTTCTGCCAGGAAACATTACATTCACTCTGTGGTTAAAGTTTTTAAAATTTTAATAACTTTCTTAAACTATCCTGGATTTGTACCAAACTTGGACAGAAGCTTGTTTATGATCATAAGATAGTATCCAGAAGTAAATTTGTTAAAAAAATAAATTTCATTTATTCCGTATATTACTTATAAATGGACTTAGTTTTTCTGCCAGGAAACAATACATTCACTCTGTGGTTAAAGTTTTTAAGATTTTAATAACTTTCTTAAACTATCCTGGATTTGTACCAAACTTGGACAGAAGCTTGTTTATGATCATAAGATAGTATCCAGAAGTAAATTTGTTAAAAAAATAAATTTCATTTATTCCGTATATTACTTATAAATGGACTTAGTTTTTCTGCCAGGAAACAATACATTCACTCTGTGGTTAAAGTTTTTAAGATTTTAATAACTTTCTTAAACTATTCTGGATTTGTACCAAACTTGGACAGAAGCTTGTTTATGATCATAAGATAGTATCCAGAAGTAAATTTGTTAAAAAAAAAATTTCTTTTTCGTATTTTACTTATAAATGGACTTAGTTTTTCTGCCAGGAAACAATACATTCACTCTGTGGACAAAGTTTTTAAAATTTTAATAACTTTCTTAAACTATCCTGGATTTGTACCAAATTTGGACAGAAGCTTGTTTATGATCAAAAGCTAGTATTTAGAAGGAAATTTTGTTAAAATTTGTACCTGTTTATCTGTATTTTACTTATAAATGGACTTAGTTTTTCTTCCAGTTAACATTAAATAGTCTGCAGTTAAAGTTTTTAAAACATTTATTAGATTCATAAACTATCCTGGATTTATACCAAACTTTGAGAGAAGCTTCTTACAATCAAAAGATAGTATCCAAAGGAATATTTTTATTGATTTTTTTCCTCATTTTTGTTGAGCCTGCGATTAACAGCAAAAGTAGGCGAGACACTGGGTTCGGCGGAACCCTTACAAATTTTTATATATTTCAGTTTAATTCTGATGTCTTTATACAATATAAGTATTAATCAGAAGGGAATTAAGTACATCTGTACCAAGAAAGGATTGTTGGCCTTGCTGTCCTGGATTTTACAAGGTGTGTTTAGCTTAGTTATTGAATGAGGTCAAGCAAAAATGCTTACATGAAATGAATTTTTATGACGATAAATATTTAATTCAAAGAAGAAAAGATTACCAATCTGACTACAAGTATGAGGTTTAAGTGATAGATTTATTTAGATTTAATTTATGTGGCAGCTTAAACTGGTAAAAGAATGGAATTAAAACGAATAAGATTTGATAAAATAAAGGACTGTCAAGCAAATGTGTATCATACATTTTCGCCCTCCTCCCCCTCATAGCAAAACTTAATTTTGTTTACTCAAAATATGAAATACTCAGTTACTAAGTTTCCAACTTCGGTATTTCTTATTGCAAAAGAGTTTTCATTAGATAAGTTTCCATTTACATCAGTCAATATTTTTTTATTGTATTGTTATTTGCTCAAATTTAAAAACCAAAGCTGTGTAAAAACATACAAAATTCAACTGTAATCAAATTTTCAGTTTTCAAACTATAAAGGAAAAATCTTTTGTTTTTTTATTACACATATATAAGAGGATGTGGTATGAGTGCCAATGAGACAACTCTCAATCCAAGTCACAATTTGTAAAAGTAAACCATTATAGGTCAAAGTACGGCCTTCAACACGGAGCCTTGGCTCACACCAAACAACAAGCTATAAAGAGCCCCAAAAATGACTAGTGTAAAACCATTCAAAAGGGAAAACAAACGGTCTAATCTATATTACAAATGAGAAACGAGAAACACTTATGAACTACATCAACAAACGACAACCACTGAACATCAGGTTCCTGACTTAGGACAGGTGCAAACAAATGCAGCGGGTTTAAACGTTTTAATAGGCGCCAACCTTCACCCTTACCTGAAACAATAGTGTAACATCACAACATAGAAAGAGTTCATATATTGAAAAATGCTTTATTGTTAAAATTTTATTTTTGTAAGCAAAACAAAAAATTAAAACATTTGTAATCTTTTTCACTTTAATATTCAAAAGAATGTGTACAGGGATTTATTGGCAGAAAACAATTTTTGATCATCTTATGAATCATTATTATAAAAAGAAGAACTTATTTTAAAAACCATTATTCTTTAAAAAACGAAAATAACTGAATAAAATTATACTTCTAAATAATAATTTAATTGATTTTATAGATATCTGCAAAAATTTCCAAATATTTGAATTCAATTATAACTTCTGAATTTAAGCCACTTTGAAAATAAAAAAATCATCACCGAGTTTCCTATTAGAATATTTATTTAGGTTTGCTATATGCATACTGTTTATAAAATATTTCAGAATATTTCTAATATGAAAATTACAATAAATCAGTTCATCATTTAAATATTTACTTGATAAACAAACAAACAGATCATGAAAAAATATAAGAGTAAAATGTTATTCTGCACTAATTTGAATTTAATAGATGAGAAGATTGTGGATAACAGAATTAACTCCCTTAGACTGATCCAATCCATCATATGTGAAGATGTGAATATAAGTCTGATCCATGAATTAGAAGAAGCTGTAAGTCTACTTTAAATCATATAGGATTCATTATATTTAATCCATATCTTAATATTGGTAAATATGTGTCGGTTTTCTTAAAAAGTATCAATATTGGATCTCTATCCATGTACGGATAATTAAAACACAAACTTTATAAATATTCATGTGTTGCCAAGATATAAACAAGCATTCTGTGAGTATTGCATGGCAATACATAGTCCCCTACCGGTTAAAAATTCATTGTAATGGAACAAAATTCTAACTTGATCTATAACTTGTCATGGTGTAAACTACATAAAAATATCAAGTCAAATCCTCAAGCATGACGAAAAAAACTGTTGAAAACTAATTATTTAAGTGAATTTTCTATGTCCAAAGACCATAACTCTGCACAAAATCATCATACCGGAACAAAATTCCAACTTGATCTGTAACTTGTCATGATAAAACTATATACTAATTATTAAATCAATATCTTCAAGAATGACCAACAAACCTACCACTAAATTCTTCAAACAATTTACCAAAGAAAAGGAAAAAAATCCAAAATGTCATTTTGTCTTTTAAAAACTTTTAAAAAATGAGTTATTTCCCTTTGGACAGAAATCTACTAATTAATAAGTATTTTATAAAAAAATTAATTCTAGGGAAAGGGCTTTAACTGAACAAAGAGAAAAGCTAAAATCGTGAAAATTGAACTTGACTTGTAACTTGTCATGATCTAACAATAAACCAAATATCAAATCAATATCTCCAAGCATGAAGAAAAAAAGTCTGGAAAACTGATTTGCCGGACTGACAGATGGACAGACAGACTGACAGACAGACGGACAGACAGACAGACAGACGGACGGAGTGCAAACCTAAAGTCCCCTTCGACTTTGTCGGTAGGGGACTAATTATTCTCATACTTCTATTAAAAGTTTCTAAAACACTGAGAAACAATTTTGTGCTTTATATTGTAGTTACCGAACCAAATGTTTGAAGAGTTACTACAAGAGAAGAACAGAGATATAAAAGAACTTGCTTTGGAGATACTTTCTGATATCCAGCAACATAAAACACATGAACAATGAATGTTATATGCATTTGGCTATTTATCATGCTGATTGATGTGTTTGTTGCAATATATCTTTTGAACATTGAAAATTCATTTATTTGGCCATAAATACTTTTTACTGTCTACACCTTGATCTATCGAAAGTTCTTTTTCGAGGTAAATGTCTGTTTGAATGAGAAATAGATCTAAACAATTTTTGGTACATGTATCTTTAAATTTTGATAAAAGTTATAAATAAGTCCACATTGATGACATAAAACTTTTTGCAGAACATACAAATCTTTCCATCTCCAGTCATCATCAAACATGAGTTTTATTGTCAGAGTGTATTTTGTTGTTTTGCACCCCATAAAAAGATGATTTTGTACAAAAGTGAAGACACCACATAAGTGAAAGCTGTTGTTTAAAAATAATTCATGTTTTAATAAAAAATACACAATGTTCATACTTATTTCATAGCTGAATTATTTATTATAAGTAATAAGAAAACAAATGCACTGAAGGCAGCTTGCCCCTTGAAGTCAAATTCCATATTGGTCATTTTCTGGATTACATTTATCCCCTTTAACTTCAACTGAAAGTTTTCATGGACTGATTGAATTATGTTCAGTGATTGATAGTTCAAGATGATTTAGACCAAAACTATATAATAAAATTAGAAAACTGATGATGTCATGAAGGGCCCCTCTTGTACAGTTTTGAGCAAGACATGGAAAGAGATAATTAACTCTAATGCAAACCAAGCCATAGATGAAACAGAGTTCAAAATCATAAATTTTGGCATCAGGTAAAAATTCAAGATACTTTCTATATATATCAAGTAAATATTGAGGTTCATTCAAATTCTAGAAGACTATACATTTTATCTATTATGGTATCTGTGGTCAATGGACAATTTTTGACTCTGGGAAACAACTTGGAATAGTATATTATACCTACATAACTTTAAAAATTTATTTATTTGGCTATAAATACTTTCTACTGTGGTTACATTTTAGTAATTATTTTGAGTCAACCAGTCTTTGATGCCAAATTGTTCAAAGTGAAGCAGCAAATACTAAAAAAAAACTGATTATTTCAAACCCCTTAAAAAGTCATTGAAAATTATAAAAATAATGAGACTATAAAAGGCCCTGAATGTTAAACAATTCCAATGAGAAAACCAATGGCCTAATTTATGACAAAACAGTATATGAAAAACAAATGTAACAGACAGCAACAAGCACTGAAATAGAAGAAATACAGGATCCTGACTTTGGAGGGACACAAGAAGATTTGTAGTTAGATTTAACTGCTTTTGCACTCATAAAAATCCATGCTGACGGTGAGAAATAGCAAACTTAAAAAGTATCATGAAATGAGTTAAAAGATACATGATATACAGTAACTTTTGAAGAATACTCTTAGCTCAACAGGAATTTTTAATTGCACAACTCTAAACATGTTAGTACATGCAAAATTACCTAGGTATTGTAGACTGGAAACACAAACTCCTTAACCATTATGACAATTCAGCTCCTATTTGAAAGTTGAAAATCCCAAAATCTTGATATAAAAAGAATTAGTTGTCAAGCAGATCTTTACTTTAAAGTGATGAGTGTGTTAAGTATGATTTACCTTTGAAGAGTTCTTTGGAAAATTTCACATCTTTTCCCAAAATTGAACATTTCTTATGTTATGGAAAACTGTATTGGTAAGAAAGAAATTAATAGGTGAAAGATTTGACTAATCTGTTATTAAATAGCATCATCAAGACTACCTTAAAACTGCCTACAGGACTTAATTGTGGTAAAACCAGTACAAAAAAAAAACTAATAACTCAAAGTGCTGTAAGACTATCATTACAAAGAGAAAAATTTACACAAACTGTAATTGACTGGAACCAATAACAAGCCCAGAGTATTTTATATTGGCAATAGTGGAAGATGCATGAGCTTCATTTCCCATATATATATATATATCACATACAGATCATCATATGCATTATCAGCTTTTAAAAAAGGACAAGATATAATTGATATTTTCTCAAGCAGAATACATGTAAAATCAAAAGAATTATTATAATTAATTTATCAAAAGGGCACATGCTATTAGAATTCCGCTTAAAAACTAATTATAGGTTAGAATTTATTCTTCCGTACAAAATTGGAAATATAAACCGTTCAGTTTGTTTACTAGTCATCTGGGACCAATAGAAAACTAAATTAGTCCCAGGTTTCATTCAATATGCTTTTAAAACTTCAATGTAGCGTGCAATAGAATATGAAAAGAACCTGTAATCACGATGGAAAAACTAATTAATTCTGAATTGTTTTGTGCTCGCTTTTAAATTGATATTTTCAACATAAACAATCAACAAGAATATTTTAGAATACAATAATGCATGAATACCACATTCTTTCATCATTGTGGCCATTAAACTTGAAATTCAAAAATGTCACCAATATAGAGATATAAAAAAGCAACGGAAGATACCAAAATGAACAATCAATCTTAACGTTTCTCGTTTTTTTATATAGATTATCATTGGACCGTTTGTTTTCCTGTTTGAATTGTTTTACACTAGACATTTTGGGGCCCTTTATAGCTTGCTGTTCAGTGTGAGCCAAGGCTCCGTGTTGAAGGCCGTACTTTGACCTATACTTGTTAACTTTTTATACATTGTGACTTGGATGGAGAGATGTTTCATTGGCACTCATACCACATATTCTTATCTATATTAACCATAAGTGAAAGAACGACAAAAAAATACCATGACTAGAAGCCAAAGAACGACGGAAAACACCACGACAAAAAGTAACAAGCGACAGAAAACACCATGATCATAAGTCACAGAACGACAGAAACACCATGAACATAAGTCACAACGACAAAACACCATCACCATAATTCACAGAACGACAGAAAACGCCATGACCATAAGTCACAGAACGACAGAAAACACCATGACCAAAAGTCACAGAACGACAGAAAACACCACGAATAAAAGTAACAGAACAACAAAACACCATGACAATTAGTCACAACGACACAACATCACAACCATAAGTCACAACAAAAGAAAACACCATGGCCATAAGTCACAGAACGACAGAAAACACCATGGCCATAAGTCACAACGACAAAACACCATGACCATAAATCACAGAACAACAGAAAACACCATGACCATAAGTCACAGAACGACAGAAAACACCATGACCAAAAGTCATAGAACGACAGAAAACACCATGACCAAAAGTCATAGATCGACAGAAAACACCATGAACAAAAGTCACAGAACGACAGAAAATACCATGACCATAAGTCACAGAACGACAGAAAACACCATGAATAAAAATCACAGAACGACAAAACACCATGACCATATATCACAACGCTCAAAACACTATGACCATAAGTCACAGAACAACGGAAAACACCATGACCAAAAGTCGCAGAACAACAGAAAACATCAAAACCAAAAATCACAGAACGACAGAAAACACCATGACCAAATGTAACAGAACGACAGAAAACACCATGATCAAAAGTCACAGAACGACAGAAAATATCATGACCATAAGTCACAGAACGACAGAAAACACCATGAATAAAAATCACAGAACGACAAAACACCATGACCATAAGTCACAACGACAAAACACTATGACCATAAGTCACAGAACAACAGAAAACACCATGATCAAAAGTCTCAGAACGACAGAAAACATCATAACCAAAAATCACAGAACGACAGAAAACACCATGACCAAAAGTCATAGAACGACAGAAAACACCATGACCAAAAGTCACAGAACGACAGAAAATACCATGACCATAAGTCACAGAACGACAGAAAACACCATGAATAAAAATCACAGAACGACAGAAAACACCATGACCATAAGTCACGGAACGACAGAAAACACCATGAATAAAAGTCACAGAACGACAAAACACCATGACCATAAGTCACAACAACCAAACACTATGACCATTAGTCACAGAACGACAAAAAACACCATGACCAAAAGTAACAGAACGACAGAAAACACCATGATCAAAAGTCACAGAACGACAGAAAATACCATGACCATAAGTCACAGAACGACAGAAAACAACATGACCAAAAGTCGCAGAACGACAGAAAATACCATGATTAAAAGTCACAGAACGACAGAAAATACCATACCATAAGTCACAGCACGACAGAAAACAACATGACCATAAGTCACAGAACGACAGAAAACACCATGAATAAAAGTCACAGAACGACAAAACACCATGGCCAAAAGTCGCAAAACGACAGAAAACATAATAACCAAAAATCACAGAACGACAGAAAACACCATGACCAAAAGTCACAGAACGACAGAAAATACCATGACCAAAAGTCACAGAACGACAGAAAATACCATACCATAAGTCACAGCACGACAGAAAACAACATGACCATAAGTCACAGAACGACAGAAAACACCATGAATAAAAGTCACAGAACGACAAAACACCATGACCATAAGTCACAGAACGACAGAAAACATAATAACCAAAAATCACAGAACGACATAAAACACCATGACCAAAAGTCACAGATCGACAGAAAATACCATGACCATAAGTCACAGAACGACAGAAAACACCATGAATAAAAATCACAGAACGACAGAAAACACCATGACCATTAGTCACAACGACAAAACACTATGACCATAAGTCACAGAACGACAGAAAACACCATGACCAAAAGTCACAGAACAACAGAAAACATCATAACCTAAAATCACAGAACGACAGAAAACACCATGACCAAAAGTCATAGAACGACAGTAAACACCATGACCAAAAGTCACAGAACGACAGAAAATACCATGACCATAAGTCACAGAACGACAGAAAACACCATGAATGAAAATCACAGAACGACAGAAAACACCATGAATAAAAATCACAGAACGACAGAAAACAACATGAATAAAAGTCACAGAACGACAAAACAACATGACCATAAGTCACAACGACCAAACACTATGACCATTAGTCACAGAACGACAAAAACACCATGACCAAAAGTAACAGAACGACAGAAAACACCATGATCAAAAGT